AGCCCCTAGTGCAGCCCCTAGTGCAGCCCCTAGTGCAGCCCCTAGTGCAGCCCCTAGTGCAGCCCCTAGTGCAGCCCCTAGTGCAGCCCCTAGTGCAGCCCCTAGTGCAGCCCCTAGTGCAGCCCCTAGTGCAGCCCCTAGTGCAGCCCCTAGTGCAGCCCCTAGTGCAGCCCCTAGTGCAGCCCCTAGTGCAGCCCCTAGTGCAGCCCCTAGTGCAGCCCCTAGTGCAGCCCCTAGTGCAGCCCCTAGTGCAGCCCCTAGTGCAGCCCCTAGTGCAGCCCCTAGTGCAGCCCCTAGTGCAGCCCCTAGTGCAGCCCCTAGTGCAGCCCCTAGTGCAGCCCCTAGTGCAGCCCCTAGTGCAGCCCCTAGTGCAGCCCCTAGTGCAGCCCCTAGTGCAGCCCCTAGTGCAGCCCCTAGTGCAGCCCCTAGTGCAGCCCCTAGTGCAGCCCCTAGTGCAGCCCCTAGTGCAGCCCCTAGTGCAGCCCCTAGTGCAGCCCCTAGTGCAGCCCCTAGTGCAGCCCCTAGTGCAGCCCCTAGTGCAGCCCCTAGTGCAGCCCCTAGTGCAGCCCCTAGTGCAGCCCCTAGTGCAGCCCCTAGTGCAGCCCCTAGTGCAGCCCCTAGTGCAGCCCCTAGTGCAGCCCCTAGTGCAGCCCCTAGTGCAGCCCCTAGTGCAGCCCCTAGTGCAGCCCCTAGTGCAGCCCCTAGTGCAGCCCCTAGTGCAGCCCCTAGTGCAGCCCCTAGTGCAGCCCCTAGTGCAGCCCCTAGTGCAGCCCCTAGTGCAGCCCCTAGTGCAGCCCCTAGTGCAGCCCCTAGTGCAGCCCCTAGTGCAGCCCCTAGTGCAGCCCCTAGTGCAGCCCCTAGTGCAGCCCCTAGTGCAGCCCCTAGTGCAGCCCCTAGTGCAGCCCCTAGTGCAGCCCCTAGTGCAGCCCCTAGTGCAGCCCCTAGTGCAGCCCCTAGTGCAGCCCTAGTGCAGCCCCTAGTGCAGCCCCTAGTGCAGCCCCTAGTGCAGCCCCTAGTGCAGCCCCTAGTGCAGCCCCTAGTGCAGCCCCTAGTGCAGCCCCTAGTGCAGCCCTAGTGCAGCCCCTAGTGCAGCCCCTAGTGCAGCCCCTAGTGCAGCCCCTAGTGCAGCCCCTAGTGCAGCCCCTAGTGCAGCCCTAGTGCAGCCCCTAGTGTGCAGCCCCTAGTGCAGCCCCTAGTGCAGCCCCTAGTGCAGCCCCTAGTGCAGCCCCTAGTGCAGCCCCTAGTGCAGCCCCTAGTGCAGCCCTAGTGCAGCCCCTAGTGCAGCCCCTAGTGCAGCCCCTAGTGCAGCCCCTAGTGCAGCCCCTAGTGCAGCCCCTAGTGCAGCCCCTAGTGCAGCCCCTAGTGCAGCCCCTAGTGCAGCCCCTAGTGCAGCCCCTAGTGCAGCCCCTAGTGCAGCCCCTAGTGCCCCTAGTGCAGCCCCTAGTGCAGCCCCTAGTGCAGCCCCTAGTGCAGCCCCTAGTGCAGCCCCTAGTGCAGCCCCTAGTGCAGCCCCTAGTGCAGCCCCTAGTGCAGCCCCTAGTGCAGCCCCTAGTGCAGCCCCTAGTGCAGCCCCTAGTGCAGCCCCTAGTGCAGCCCCTAGTGCAGCCCCTAGTGCAGCCCCTAGTGCAGCCCCTAGTGCAGCCCCTAGTGCAGCCCCTAGTGCAGCCCCTAGTGCAGCCCTAGTGCAGCCCCTAGTGCAGCCCCTAGTGCAGCCCCTAGTGCAGCCCCTAGTGCAGCCCCTAGTGCAGCCCCTAGTGCAGCCCCTAGTGCAGCCCCTAGTGCAGCCCCTAGTGCAGCCCCTAGTGCAGCCCCTAGTGCAGCCCCTAGTGCAGCCCCTAGTGCAGCCCCTAGTGCAGCCCCTAGTGCAGCCCCTAGTGCAGCCCCTAGTGCAGCCCCTAGTGCAGCCCCTAGTGCAGCCCCTAGTGCAGCCCCTAGTGCAGCCCCTAGTGCAGCCCCTAGTGCAGCCCCTAGTGCAGCCCCTAGTGCAGCCCCTAGTGCAGCCCCTAGTGCAGCCCCTAGTGCAGCCCCTAGTGCAGCCCTAGTGCAGCCCCTAGTGCAGCCCCTAGTGCAGCCCCTAGTGCAGCCCCTAGTGCAGCCCCTAGTGCAGCCCCTAGTGCAGCCCCTAGTGCAGCCCTAGTGCAGCCCCTAGTGCAGCCCCTAGTGCAGCCCCTAGTGCAGCCCCTAGTGCAGCCCCTAGTGCAGCCCCTAGTGCAGCCCCTAGTGCAGCCCCTAGTGCAGCCCCTAGTGCAGCCCCTAGTGCAGCCCCTAGTGCAGCCCCTAGTGCAGCCCCTAGTGCAGCCCCTAGTGCAGCCCCTAGTGCAGCCCCTAGTGCAGCCCCTAGTGCAGCCCCTAGTGCAGCCCCTAGTGCAGCCCCTAGTGCAGCCCCTAGTGCAGCCCCTAGTGCAGCCCCTAGTGCAGCCCCTAGTGCAGCCCTAGTGCAGCCCTAGTGCAGCCCCTAGTGCAGCCCCTAGTGCAGCCCCTAGTGCAGCCCCTAGTGCAGCCCTAGTGCAGCCCCTAGTGCAGCCCCTAGTGCAGCCCCTAGTGCAGCCCCTAGTGCAGCCCCTAGTGCAGCCCCTAGTGCAGCCCCTAGTGCAGCCCCTAGTGCAGCCCCTAGTGCAGCCCCTAGTGCAGCCCCTAGTGCAGCCCCTAGTGCAGCCCCTAGTGCAGCCCCTAGTGCAGCCCCTAGTGCAGCCCCTAGTGCAGCCCCTAGTGCAGCCCTAGTGCAGCCCCTAGTGCAGCCCCTAGTGCAGCCCCTAGTGCAGCCCCTAGTGCAGCCCCTAGTGCAGCCCCTAGTGCAGCCCCTAGTGCAGCCCCTAGTGCAGCCCCTAGTGCAGCCCCTAGTGCAGCCCCTAGTGCAGCCCCTAGTGCAGCCCCTAGTGCAGCCCCTAGTGCAGCCCCTAGTGCAGCCCCTAGTGCAGCCCCTAGTGCAGCCCCTAGTGCAGCCCCTAGTGCAGCCCCTAGTGCAGCCCTAGTGCAGCCCCTAGTGCAGCCCCTAGTGCAGCCCCTAGTGCAGCCCCTAGTGCAGCCCCTAGTGCAGCCCCTAGTGCAGCCCTAGTGCAGCCCTAGTGCAGCCCCTAGTGCAGCCCCTAGTGCAGCCCCTAGTGCAGCCCCTAGTGCAGCCCCTAGTGCAGCCCCTAGTGCAGCCCCTAGTGCAGCCCCTAGTGCAGCCCCTAGTGCAGCCCCTAGTGCAGCCCCTAGTGCAGCCCCTAGTGCAGCCCCTAGTGCAGCCCCTAGTGCAGCCCCTAGTGCAGCCCCTAGTGCAGCCCCTAGTGCAGCCCCTAGTGCAGCCCCTAGTGCAGCCCCTAGTGCAGCCCCTAGTGCAGCCCCTAGTGCAGCCCCTAGTGCAGCCCCTAGTGCAGCCCCTAGTGCAGCCCCTAGTGCAGCCCCTAGTGCAGCCCCTAGTGCAGCCCCTAGTGCAGCCCCTAGTGCAGCCCCTAGTGCAGCCCTAGTGCAGCCCCTAGTGCAGCCCTAGTGCAGCCCCTAGTGCAGCCCCTAGTGCAGCCCCTAGTGCAGCCCCTAGTGCAGCCCCTAGTGCAGCCCCTAGTGCAGCCCCTAGTGCAGCCCCTAGTGCAGCCCCTAGTGCAGCCCCTAGTGCAGCCCCTAGTGCAGCCCCTAGTGCAGCCCTAGTGCAGCCCCTAGTGCAGCCCCTAGTGCAGCCCCTAGTGCAGCCCCTAGTGCAGCCCCTAGTGCAGCCCCTAGTGCAGCCCCTAGTGCAGCCCCTAGTGCAGCCCCTAGTGCAGCCCCTAGTGCAGCCCCTAGTGCAGCCCCTAGTGCAGCCCCTAGTGCAGCCCTAGTGCAGCCCTAGTGCAGCCCCTAGTGCAGCCCCTAGTGCAGCCCCTAGTGCAGCCCCTAGTGCAGCCCCTAGTGCAGCCCCTAGTGCAGCCCCTAGTGCAGCCCCTAGTGCAGCCCCTAGTGCAGCCCCTAGTGCAGCCCCTAGTGCAGCCCCTAGTGCAGCCCCTAGTGCAGCCCCTAGTGCAGCCCCTAGTGCAGCCCCTAGTGCAGCCCCTAGTGCAGCCCCTAGTGCACCCTAGTGCACCCCTAGTGCAGCCCCTAGTGCAGCCCCTAGTGCAGCCCCTAGTGCAGCCCCTAGTGCAGCCCCTAGTGCAGCCCCTAGTGCAGCCCCTAGTGCAGCCCCTAGTGCAGCCCCTAGTGCAGCCCCTAGTGCAGCCCCTAGTGCAGCCCCTAGTGCAGCCCCTAGTGCAGCCCCTAGTGCAGCCCCTAGTGCAGCCCCTAGTGCAGCCCCTAGTGCAGCCCCTAGTGCAGCCCCTAGTGCAGCCCCTAGTGCAGCCCCTAGTGCAGCCCCTAGTGCAGCCCCTAGTGCAGCCCCTAGTGCAGCCCCTAGTGCAGCCCCTAGTGCAGCCCCTAGTGCAGCCCCTAGTGCAGCCCCTAGTGCAGCCCCTAGTGCAGCCCCTAGTGCAGCCCCTAGTGCAGCCCCTAGTGCAGCCCCTAGTGCAGCCCCTAGTGCAGCCCCTAGTGCAGCCCTAGTGCAGCCCCTAGTGCAGCCCCTAGTGCAGCCCCTAGTGCAGCCCCTAGTGCAGCCCCTAGTGCAGCCCCTAGTGCAGCCCCTAGTGCAGCCCCTAGTGCAGCCCCTAGTGCAGCCCCTAGTGCAGCCCCTAGTGCAGCCCCTAGTGCAGCCCCTAGTGCAGCCCCTAGTGCAGCCCCTAGTGCAGCCCCTAGTGCAGCCCCTAGTGCAGCCCCTAGTGCAGCCCCTAGTGCAGCCCCTAGTGCAGCCCCTAGTGCAGCCCCTAGTGCAGCCCCTAGTGCAGCCCCTAGTGCAGCCCCTAGTGCAGCCCCTGCTGGTCCGTTTCTGAGTTCCTTCTACTCACTGCCCCTCCCCTTCTGTCCTTCATTTTGCAGGGTATTTTTGAGAATTCTCAAAAACACCCTGAGAATTCTCAAAAACACCCCTTCTGTCCTTCCTCCAGGGTGGAGAGTCTATTTTCGAGGCGCCTCACAAATGAACCCACTGTTCCCCCCCACCCCCTCTCTCCTTCCTCCAGGGCCGCCCTCACCAACATCCAGCCGTTCTCGGCGAAGAATCTGGAGGACCACATGAACGAGCGTGAGCCGTTCGATCTGCCGATCCAACGGACGTATGAGACGCACCTTCCCGAAAACATATACCAGCAGGTGGAGGATATGCTGCTGGATGACGACCAAGTGGCGCACAGTATCGGCGAGAGATACGTCATTCAGGTGCATCTCCTCTCGGTCGTCTCCTCTGGATGACGACCAAGTGGTGCATCCCCTCTCGGTTGGTTTAGATATTATTAGTTGTAGTGCATGAGACGCACCTCCAGAAAGTATCTCCAGAAAGTATATTGCAGCAAAGAACCAATCTCTTGGTTTGCATGCCTGTGACAGGTGGTTGATTCCAGGGAGCACGTTGTCTACAAGGCAGTCTGCAAGTACGAGGCGGATGGCCGGCAGCTTTTCGTCAAGAAGGTTCGGCTAGCTGGCCGCTAGCTGTATATGGGGGTGACAAACAGCAGCAATAGCAATATAGTGGCCGGCGCTCCAACGGGTCACTAATAATCTTATTGTCCGACTCCGTCGAGAATGCTTTTTCTGACACCAGTTTTCTGATACCAGTCTCTGGATTCCACGAGCTACTTTTCTCATGAATCTTGGTGTTCTTGAGAATTCTCAAAAACACCCTGCAAAGACTTGGTGCTCATTAAGGATGATGCTCGTGCTGATGGATGCAGGTCAAGAAGCCTCCTGTTCGCTATGGGGTGATTGACATAGCACGGCCGGACAAAGTGTTGGATGCTCGCTTGATTCTCACTTCTGAATCCCAGCTCACAACACTGGATGTAAGCGTTGCATGCGTCGTGCTGGCCCCTTGATTCCCTAACGATGAGTTCCAGAGCTCCCAACTGGCAGCTCAGTTCTGTATATGCTGCTCATTTCCGACTTCTCTGACCCATCCTTTCCCCGTACTCACCCCCCTCTCCCCACCTGTTCTCCCTTTTCTCTCTTTTTTCTTTTTCAAATCCCACCCCCCCTTCGCTCGTCGTCTCCCGTAAGGACGAGCTCCAAGCTGCAATCACCAGGATCTTAGCCGTCACTCACGTTGACCCTCGCAGTCCGGCAGGGCTCCGCATCCCAGCACACATGACTGAGAGGCGTAGAGGCTCCGACGTTACCACCAGGGGCTATGCTGGCACTGCTGCCAGGGGCTCTGCTGGCTCTCCTAGCAGGTTCCTGGTGCGTGCGGTGAGGCATGCAACCACGAGGCGGGCGGTGGGGAGGGGGCGGCTGTGGAAGCTTGCTCGGGTTGATGGGGTGGAGTTTAAGCAGGGGGGCGGGCGGCGCACGAACGAGATAGAATTCTGCCCGCTCGCATGGCACCGTGAGCTCAAGGTGAGTTTTCGGGATTTTTACTGATAATGGGAGGTGTGTCATTGTGACAGCTCGGTGACCCTGACGCACGCAGTGAAAGTTGCCCATGCTTCTCTGGTTTGATGCTAATCGCCCGCTAATCAGGGGCAAAAGAACAGCAGCATATGTTGAGTTCAGCTTGAGATTTCCCCTACTGCTGCGTTCCTGTCCCGCCCACAGGCCAGCTCAGGTGGAGGTGGTGGCAGCAGGGAGCAGCAGCCCCCTCTTGGAGCACGGGACGAGATCATGGGGGAATGTCCTGGGCTGCTGGCATGGGCTCTCTGAGAGGTTGCCATAGCAGAAGACGCAGGCATGGAGCTACAGAGTGGGAGCGCAGCAGGGAGCAGCAGCCCCCTGATGGAGCACGGACAAAATCATGGTGGAATGCACTGCACTGCTGGTGTGGCTGTTTGAGCATTTGCCATAGCGGGGGCCACACGCAGACGTGGGGCCATAGAGAGGCAGTGCAGGGGAGAGCAGCAGCCGATTTTTGAGGCGCCTAAGAAAGTTTGGCATAGCCGGGAACGCTGGTGTGGGGATATGGAGCAGCAGTGCAGGGGAGAGCAGCAGCCGAAGAAAGTTTGGCATAGCCGGGAATGCTGGTGTGGGATATGGAGAGGCAGTGCAGGGGAGAGCAGCAGCCCCCCGTGTGGAGCACGGAGGAGCGCATGGAAGGAAGCTCCCAAGGGTCTCCAGGGAGGATTATCAGGGGTTGGCAGCGTGGGGATGGCGGTGGTGACTGCAGGGAGGGCAAGGGATGGAGGTGTTCTAGGGAGAAAGGATGGGGAGTGAACTGTTTTTGACGGCGCCTCAAAAAGGGGAGAGGATGGGGAGTGAACTGTTTTTGAGGCCGCCTCAAAAAGGGAGAGGATGGGGAGTGAACTGTTTTTGAGGCGCCTCAAAAAGGGAGAGGATGGGGAGTGAACTGTTTTTTGAGGCGCCTCAAAAAGGGAGAGGATGGGGAGTGAACTGTTTTTGAGGCGCATCAAAAAGGGAGAGGATGGGGAGTGAACTGTTTTTGAGGCGCCTCAAAAAGGGAGAGGATGGGGAGTGAACTGTTTTTGAGGCGCATCAAAAAGGGAGAGGATGGGGAGTGAACTGTTTTTGAGGCGCCTCAAAAAGGCGAGAGGAATGGGGAGTGGAACTGTTTTTGAGGCGCCTCAAAAAGGGAGAGGATGGGGAGTGAACTGTTTTTGAGGCGCCTCAAAAAGGGAGAGGATGGGGAGTGAACTGTTTTTGAGGCGCCTCAAAAAGGGAGAGGATGGGGAGTGAACTGTTTTTGAGGCGCCTCAAAAAGGGAGAGGATGGGGAGTGAACTGTTTTTGAGGCGCCTCAAAAAGGGAGAGGATGGGGAGTGAACTGTTTTTGAGGCGCCTCAAAAAGGGAGAGGATGGGGAGTGAACTGTTTTTGAGGCGCCTCAAAAAGGGAGAGGATGGGGAGTGAACTGTTTTTGAGGCGCCTCAAAAAGGGAGAGGATGGGGAGTGAACTGTTTTGAGGCGCCTCAAAAAGGGAGAGGATGGGGAGTGAACTGTTTTTGAGGCGCCTCAAAAAGGGAGAGGATGGGGAGTGAACTGTTTTTGAGGCGCCTCAAAAAAGAGGATGGGAGTGAACTGTTTTTGAGGCGCCTCAAAAGGGAGAGGATGGGGAGTGAACTGTTTTTGAGGCGCGCCTCAAAAAGGGAGAGGATGGGGAGTGAACTGTTTTGAGGCCGCCTCAAAAAGGGAGAGGATGGGGAGTGAACTGTTTTTGAGGCGCCTCAAAAAGGGAGAGGATGGGGAGTGAACTGTTTTTTGAGGCGCCTCAAAAAGGGAGAGGATGGGGAGTGAACTGTTTTTGAGGCGCCCTCAAAAAGGGAGAGGATGGGGAGTGAACTGTTTTTGAAGGCGCCTCAAAAAGGGAGAGGATGGGAGTGAACTGTTTTTGAGGCGCCTCAAAAAGGGAGAGGATGGGGAGTGAACTGTTTTTGAGGCGCCTCAAAAAGGGAGAGGATGGGGAGTGAACTGTTTTTGAGGCGCCTCAAAAAGGGAGAGGATGGGGAGTGAACTGTTTTTGAGGCGCCTCAAAAAGGGAGAGGATGGGGAGTGAACTGTTTTTTGAGGCGCCTCAAAAAGGGAGAGGATGGGAGTGAACTGTTTTTGGAGGCGCCTCAAAAGGGAGAGGATGGGGAGTGAACTGTTTTTGAGGCGCCTCAAAAAGGGAGAGGATGGGGAGTGAACTGTTTTTGAGGCGCCTCAAAAAGGGAGAGGATGGGGAGTGAACTGTTTTTGAGGCGCCTCAAAAAGGGAGAGGATGGGGAGTGAACTGTTTTTGAGGCGCCTCAAAAAGGGAGAGGATGGGGAGTGAACTGTTTTTGAGGCGCCTCAAAAAGGGAGAGGATGGGGAGTGAACTGTTTTTGAGGCGCCTCAAAAAGGGAGAGGATGGGGAGTGAACTGTTTTTGAGGCGCCTCAAAAAGGGAGAGGATGGGGAGTGAACTGTTTTTGAGGCGCCTCAAAAAGGGAGAGGATGGGGAGTGAACTGTTTTTGAGGCGCCTCAAAAAGGGAGAGGATGGGGAGTGAACTGTTTTTGAGGCGCCTCAAAAAGGGAGAGGATGGGGAGTGAACTGTTTTTGAGGCGCCTCAAAAAAGGGAGAGGATGGGGAGTGAACTGTTTTTGAGGCGCCTCAAAAAGGGAAGGAGGATGGGGGAGTGAACTGTTTTTTGAGGCGCCTCAAAAAGGGAGAGGATGGGGAGTGAACTGTTTTTGAGGCGCCTCAAAAAGGGAGAGGATGGGGAGTGAACTGTTTTTGAGGCGCCTCAAAAAGGGAGAGGATGGGGAGTGAACTGAGATGAGATGGTTATTGAGAGGGGAATCAAAGAGGACGATGGTGGTGGGTAGGTGGGAGATGATGTGGACGTGGAAGGGAGTAGGGGGTTGGTTTAGTGGGTGGTCACAAAGTAGCATGCAGACCATGGGGGGAATGGGTTTGAGGATAGCTAGTGGAGTGTCAGTTCTCTTTCTGTTCCTTCATGGTTGTGAAAGATATGTGATTGTGCACACTCGAGAGAGAAAGAATTGATGGATGGGGAGAAATGGGCAGACTGTAGCTCCAATCGAGGAGAAATGCTGGGGAATGGAGGAGGGCAGGCAAGTGTACACATACTGAACACTGTTGTACCATGCACAAGGCGAATGTGAGATTATATACAACAGTACTGACAGGATTGTTTATGACAGGTCCTGTGAGCCAGCCATGCCTGCCTGCAGCCCAGGACACTCCCCCATGATCTGCTCACGTGGAGGGCTGCAGCTCCCTGCCTTCTGCGCCACTTGCTCTCTGTAGCATCATGCATTCATACTAGGTAGTACCTACCACCACATACCCTCTCATGGCAGATTCTCAGCCAGCCACGCCAGCAGCCCAGAGCACTTCCCCACGATCTGCTCTGAGCTCCATATGGGTGGTGGGGACTGCAGCTCCCTGATGCACTCTTTCTCTATAGGCTGTAGCCCCACGCATTACCACCACGCACACCCAGTCATGGCAGGTTCACACTCAGCCACGCCAGCAGCCCAGGGCACTCCCCAATGATCTGCTCCGAGCTCCACGTGGGGGGCTGCTGTTCCTTTGAGCGCTCTCGCCCCCTACTGTCACCCTGCATAGGTGATGAATTACAAGCGATGGGAATACAAGAGATTATGGAATGCCACATTCCACAAGTGAGCAACGCCGAATGTGGAATCAGATGGGTTCCTCTAACCTGTGAGCAACGCCGAATGCACCTATGCTTACAGGCTGGGAATCACATGGTTTCTATGTGCTTATGGTACTAATGGTGCTGCATGCAAGGGTTTGAATGCAAGGAAAGGTGCCTGGCAAACACATGGACCTGCTCGGAGATGGAAGCGTTGTTCTGTTCGTTACCTTGAGCTGCTGCTGCCATGCTGCCGGGAATACTTCAACCATATTCGTCTTTCTTCCGGCTCCCTGCTTGTACTCAATTCCATCAACACGAGAAAACTTCCACACCCTCCCTTCTGCCACCACCCGTCTCACAGTCAAATGCCTGGCCGCTCGCACTTGGAACCTGCCGCTGCCTTCACTGCAGCTACTCCCACCAGTGGAATTCAAGCTGCTATTGGATGCTATTGAGAACCTGCTACCCATGCCAGAAATTCCGCTGCTGACATCAGAGACCCCGCTGCTGACATCATTGTAAGTACTACTGCGAATCCCACTGCTACCCTCCGAAGCAGTGCTTGAAGTGTCTGATTCCCTGGCAGCAACATCAAAACCCCTGCGACCTTCAATCATGTCCTCTGGAATGCGCACCCCACCTGGGCTCTGTGGGTCAATCTGTGCTGAATGCAGGACCTTGCTGAATGCAGCACCCAGTGGATCCTGCTGGGATGTGGGAGAGGGATTGAGTGCGCTGGAATTTGGGGCTAGAACTTATTTTGGCCTACAAAACGAGTGAGTTAAATATCTTGTGCTAGAAAGGTTGCATCGCCTTTAAATGTGTGCAACTCACATCCCACCGAATGCATGCATACATGTGCGACTCACATCCCACCGAATGCATGCATACATGTGCGACTCACATCCCACCGAATGCATGCATACATGTGCGACTCACATCCCACCGAATGCATGCATACATGTGCGACTCACATCCCACCGAATGCATGAATACATGTGCAACGCACATCCCACCGAATGCATGCATACATGTGCATCTCACATCCCACCAAGGGAATGTATGCATGCGCCACTCACGTCCAGGGTAGTCAAGCGTGTCTCAATGGTCAGGATTAAGCGAACATCGAGGGCGTTTCCTGGCCGTGCGATTTCAATGACTCCATAGCGAACTGGAAACTTCTTCACCTGAATTCACAGAAGCAGGCAGCACCTCTTGTGTATCAGCTAGAAGTCGAAAAAATGAGGAGAATTGAGACGTGGTAAAAAAAAAGGCAAAAAAGAAGGCTCTTGATGACTCTGCCAACAGGACCGCAATACCAGTAACGATGCACTGTTGTTGAAATGTTTCAACTGACCACACCTTTTTTATGATGAAGCGCTTTTCATCAGCAACATATTTACAAGCTGCCCTGTAGATAGTGCGGGACCAGGTATCAACCACCTGAAATACACAAAAACAATAGCATGCGGAAAAGAGGGCGCGTGTGTGATATGCAAAAAGGAAGACGGAAAGAAAGCACAAAACAGCACAAAGCACAAATCCTGCTGCTAAGGATGGATGAGCATGTGCCAAGCCTCACCTGAATGTCATATTTCTCGCTCTCTTCGAAAGCTACTTCAGCGTTTTCCAGCACAATGCCTTCCAGTCTGCTGCAGACACTGTCAGGGACGTGCGTCTCAAACACTCTGTGAAGGGGCAGCTTCAACCGCTGCTGCTCACTGTCCTCATTGCCGTTCATATAATCCTCCAGGCGTTGAGCAGAAAATGGCGGAACCTTGAGTAGGCGGGTCCTGGCAGAAAATTAGCCGGATTTGGCTGATTAAGACTTATCAAGAAAGGCGTGGAGAAGAGATGCAATCACATTCCGGGCACTTAATTTTGTTCCTGGCAACGTATGATACAGACCGGAAACCATTCAGCGCCTCAGGATGCAAGCAAATTCAATACACATACTTTACATATACCTGCCCTGGGCCGAGAAAAGCAGCTTGCCTAGTCGAACCAGGAGCCTAACCCTCCTTGTCCCATCATGCGCACTCTGCACTGTCATAGCACGTCGTTCCAATTTCGCATGAACCAGATCGAGAGCCTCAGTCAGGGGCTCTCGGATTGAGTCTAGCAATCTGACCTCTCGTGGACCGTCGATACCTTCCCTGCTAACATCCCCACCGTCGATGTTATTCGACCCTGAAAGAGCCTCACCGTTGTCCCCGCTATTAGTAACTCCATTACCATCCCTGCTATCAGCATGTGCACTACAGCCCTCACTATTAACATCTCCCGTGAAACACCCTTATTACGTTATTTTCCGAATCGTATGCCCATTTCCCGCGAATTTATCACTGTTAGCTAGCCAGTCTTGGAGAGTGCCTCGAATCGGTGCCTTGATAAGCGTCGCTAGGTGCCTCTTCCGAAGATAAGGATAGCTTTCGCAGCCGAACTGCTCGAAATAGAGGGATTCGCTTATCTGGAGCCAGATTGTCGCTCTCGGCCTTTCTGTCGTCATAGTCGTCCACGATTGTGAGAATCCTGGCGTCAGGGGAATGCGTGAGTGGACCACCGCCTCTCGTTGGCAGCTTAAATCGCCGACTATAGGACTCGTAAAGCGCCATGGTTGAAGAGAGATTGATAGTGGTTATTTCGGACTAGTGATAGTGTTTTTCCCTCAGGTTGTGTCACAAACCCTCTTTCGGCGATACGCGCTGCTCGGAGCTTTAGCTTGCGAAATGGGACGCCACAACTGTCCGCGGAACAACTCAGCTAAGAAGGCTCGCGGATAGACGCGTGCAGCCATGGGTGCCTACTAGCCATGCTGTCAGTGGACGGTGGGCTTCACAATGTGCGACGATGGCTGAATGCAACTCTTGGAGGAGTGTAACGCGACGCCATGCAACACAATGCAGAGATGAAAACACAAGGCCCAAGCTGTTTGTATCGCTGCTCAGGGCGTGTCTTAAGTGCATGCCAGGCATTAATCTCAGAACGTATCTCACCTTCAGTTACTGTTCTTGAAAACTTACGTTCCAAAGCTGTAGCGAGACGCGATTTGGGCAAACTCGCCACTCCTGACCTAAATGTCAAATTCACACTGCAAAACGTGTACGAAGTGGCAATCTGTATCATTTGTTATGTCCTTCGTGTGCTCGCAGCACAGTGAAACGCCATCGTTTCGAAAATGGGCACGAGAACGAGGGCTGCAAGGTTTTTGTGACGCGCTTCGTAAGAATTAAAAACATTCAAATCATATGGTAGTCACAGACATGCCCATCTTTGTGCGTGAACGAACTTTGGGTTCGCTTGCAGATTCGTCGTGACGCGAGATGATATGTAATATGTTACCAAGAGCCACATAAGTCGCGCCCTGATCCTCACGGAAGGTCCTACCCGTCCAACAGTCTGATCCGAAGTTCAATCCTGGTTGAATGCACTACAGTTCCGTGACTCGGAACAACGTCCAAAGTTTCGCGAAGCTCGCAAACATCTGTTCGCAGGCATCACTTTCTGGTGTGCTTGCCCTGCACTTCTCGAGACACCACAGACCAAACTCCAGCAAAAGCCGAAATGTGCGATTGAAATCATTTCAGCTTGACCCCGTGTTGCCCGCCACGCCACAATCGTTCGTCCATGGATATCATGAGAGAATCGAGGGAGGAGGGGTTTTCGTGAAACGGCGATTTCTACTGCCCACATCTGACGTTTTCACCAATTCCCAAGACAGGCTGACTGACTGCCTCGCAGCATACGCATGCCGACTTGTGTGTCATTCGACATGGTCACATCAATCAGGCGTAGTCGCATGCACCGTACACAACGAGGGAATTGCGGAGCGCGCGCGCTGTTTGCGCTCCCGAGCTCTCTTGGTCTGGCTGCAACGACCCAAGACCGATGGTTAACGCAGTTGGAGACCGATTGTGGTGAAAATCCAAGCTATCGCCCCGGTTTCGTTCCTCCAGGCTCTCCTCCTTTCATTAACCTCCCGCAGACGGACAAATGCTCTCTCGCAAAGGCGCTCATCGCAGTTCCCTTCTCATGGCGCAACGAGAGCCGCCAAGACGGAAATTACTATCACGAGGTGGACTTCCGATCTATCATGCCCGGGATGCGAGGATGTTAACCCTCGTGGACGATTATGGTGATAGGAAGGCCGGCAACCTCCTTTTCACACCGGATCAGAGGGTTTCCCTGTTTTTTGAACCATTTCGCAACCTGTGTTACCCTCATCTTCGGAATAGGTATCTTGCCGTGCTTATCAGGTCTCCGACTCAGGGGAATCTTGGAGGCTGGATTAATAGGAGGACTGTCCCGTTGGAGTACGATTCCGATCAAGACTCACGGCTCGTTCACGGAGATGCTGACAGCAGGGACAGCGGTGGGGTGCTTTCCGAGCCGAATGGCGAGGATAGCGGAGATGTTGATAGCGGGGACAGCGGGAATAGCATTGGAGGGCCTTCAGCGGCGAATGGCCGGGACAGTCCTAGAGAGGCCAGGCTGATTGACCAGATTCGGCAGCCGCTGACCGAAGCCCTGGATCTGGTGCATGAGAGAATTGACCGTTGTGCGCTGATGGGAGAGGGGGGTGCTGGCGGTGGGGTGGAGAAGGTGAAGCTCCTGGTGAGGCTCGGGAAGCTGCTGTTCTCGGTGCAAGGCAGACCAGAGTACGTGTGGTGGCTTGCCATGCCTTGGGGTTCTATTTCGTGGATACGCCTTGTCTCCAACTCCCATCACCGCTAGTTGTTCCTTGAACAGAACTCAGTGGCATGAGCTTCCTTTATCAGTTCTTTATTTAGCTTGATAAAGCTTTTCAACACCCTGTTTTAGTTGGAGTCCCCAAATTCGTTAGTTTGATTTCATTCCTCCATCGCCTATGTTTGGATAAGGTCTTTTAATCCGCTGCATTTGATTGACTTCCCCAATTTCTCCTGCCAGAGCTTCCCTATCCAGGATTCCGTCATTCTCTGCTCAGAAGTTGGAGGATCACTTGAACAACCGTGCACGCTTTAGGGTCCCCATCCACAGAACGTATGAGACTCACGTTCCTGACAGCATCTACAGCCGATTGGAAGACCTGCTGATGAGAGATGCTGGATCTGCATGTCAAGCTGCTTCTCCCAGCGCCTCCAGTGAAAAATACAACATTCAGGTGACTTCAGATGCCCTATGCAGCCCATGTCTTGACTCATATGCACAAGTAAAACGCGTCACCTTGCCTTTTGTATGCATGTGTATTCAGGTGATTGATACCAAGAAAGGCATTATCGACAAAGCGGTGTGTAAATACCTCACGGATGAGCGACGCTTCCTCCTTAAAAAGGTGTGGCTGGCTGAAAGGACACACGGGGTTTTTTATTCAACAAGCAGGATAAGGAGCAAGGGCACCGATTTTCTTTTTGACTGGCTGGATATCTAACACATCCTTATTCACAAACCGTCTGGTTTGTGAATCCAGGTGAAATTGCTGCCCCTTCAGTATGCAGTTATTGACATTGCAAACCCAGGCAAAGCTGTGGATGCGCGCTTATTTCTCACCACCGAAACACACCTGACAGAGCTCGATGTGAGTCACACCAGCATTCATCTGACGTCTGATATTTTCTTCTATATGTAAATTCGTTGAAGTTTTACAAGATGACGTAAATCCACCCTCGTGTAAGGCTTGCTATTCTCGTTTAAAGGCTTGATGTGAGTCACACCAGCGTTGCCATGTTTTACCTTCTCGAGATATCCCCCTCAACATTCCTGATGGTACTCCTCAAGTCTCTCATCTTTCCAATGCAGGGTGACCTTGATACTGAAATTCAAAAGATTCTGGAATTTGCTCAGATTGACCCATGGAATGCAGGAGGCTTGCACATTCCACCTCATATGACTGAAGGCTACCAGGCCCCCGACGCCAGTACCAATGGTCATGGAGCTTCCAGTGGGGCATGTGAAGGTAGTAGCAATTGTAATGGGGCTAAGAAGAATCATAGGGAGAGCAGAAGATTCCAGATCCGGGCTGTAAGGCATGTGACTGTGAGACAGGCAGCGGGGGGAGGGAGGCTCTGGAAATTTTCACGTGTTGATGGGATTGAGTATAAGCAGGAGGGAGGGCGGCGGACGAATGAGATTGAACTCTGCCCAGTTGCATGGCAGCATGATCTCAAGACTAGCCGTGTGGGAGGTGGTGGCAGCATAGAGCAGCAGGCCCCTGCATGGAGCACGGAAGAGATCATGGCGGAGTGCCCTGGGCTGCTGGCATGGCTGACTGACAATCTTCCATCATGATGCTTTCTACAATGAATGCAAATCTCCGAATGATGGACAGAGCGTTCTTCCTACAATGAATGCAAATCTCCGAATGCAGAACATTCCACATTCTGATGAATGACTGGTATAGTAAAGGAATGCTTTTGAACAGTTATCAAACTCTGCTAGTGAAGAATCTTATACGGATCCGACTAGTGGTGCCCGTGCATCCTGCCTAGCCGCCCTGGAGCCCCCGGTCGAAGCGCGAAGGCGCAAACAGACCAATCTCTCGCCGCCACGGTGTCATCCGCCTCGCTAACAAACGCCGCCTTCGCGGTTCGTCACCAGCTCCGCCCCAGCCCAAGCCAACCATCCGATGTACGCTCAACTTGTCGTCAGCGGAGGATCTCGTCGCCACCAATAATAGCCATCACACTCCCTGTCAACACGCTCCTACTGCACATCTCGTTCGTCGATAAGTTTCGCAGCACCAATTGACTTTCGCACAATTCTGCGGCTTGAATCTTCAAGCCACAGCCTGCAAACCCCCCACCACCTGCCCCGCATTGTTCCCGCAAGCGCCAACTGCGGTCCCTGGGGCAAATTCGCCCCTTTTCTTCCTCCAGTCTCTCCTCCGCCCGACACCAGAATCTCTACTCCACCCACCCCTCTGCTTTCCCCTTATACTGACGCATGGCGTCGGCTACAGTGTGCTCCTCCCATCCCGCCCATCCCAAGATCTAGGCTGCTGGAATTCCTGTCCTCACCTGGCTCGCTCCCCTCTCCCTCACTGCTGTGTTTCCTCTCGTATGTGGGTAGTAAGAGCTGTGGGGTGGATGTAGCAACGATGCAGCGAGCAACCTGCGTCAGTATCCTCGCTTCTTAGTGCTACCTGCGCGATTCAACCCGTTCATGAGCTGACTTTCCTTGATTGTTTCCCAAGTGCGCCCAGATCGGAATTTACGGTTCTCGTCGGCTGTCATAGCGATGGAGTTCAGCCCATGGATTGCCAAAATTCTCCGAGTGAGCTTGGGGATTGAAACAGCGCACCGGTTCTAAGAGCAATCCAGAAACGGCGTATTACAAGTCCTCAAAACTCAAAGAGCAATCCAGGGCACCAGTTGGGCAGTCTCGTCGTTTGAGCAAGCTGAGGCAGCGGTGTTTTATAAACAATCGCCCAGTAGACGGCGTTTTACAACGCTTCGCGACGTCGTCGCCCTGCACAGTAGGCTGCGACGCGAAACGCTCCGGACCACCCTGACCAACAACTGTATAAGCCCCTGCCGTCAGTGTCACTTACATACGCCAACTTCCCCCCTTATAAGAATCAGAGCGCCGCTTTAGCAGAAGCCGTAGCCCGCATGGCTGAGAGGCAAGGGAGCCACGTGGGCGGCGGTCTTGACTGCAGCAGCCGAGCTAGGAGGAGTGACGAGCGTAACAGCAGCAACGGTACCGGTGGGAACAGCCATGGTTGTTTCATTGTCGCACCGCGCGGTACCACCAGCACCCCTGCCGCCGCCGCCGCCGAATCCGGTGCCTCCAACTCAACTGATCCGGAAACCGAGGCGCTAATATCCCCCGTCGCATCCTCCATCGACCTCAATGAATCTCGACCGCACGATGAATTCTCGGCTCCATCCTCGCCGTCCAGCGACGAGTCACCTCCTGGCGACGAATCTCCGCCGTCGCCGCAGTTCGCGGTGAGCGACACGGCACAGCCGTGGTCCAGGACAGGTGGCGCGATGGCATTGGACGCCGCGAGGCTGATTCAGCAGGTCGGGATTCAGCAGCTCATGCGCCGACGGCAGTCGCCTCGCCAAGCCTCAGCTCCGGAACAGGTCCGGCCCAAACCTACTCCTGCACTTCCAATTTTGTCGGTTCCAATATTTCTGTTCCTACATGTCAGCCCCGCTTTTCCCCTGCTTTTTTTTTGTCAGCTGCCCGACCCGCAGCCCAGCACGTGGGCGTATTCCCGCCCGGTGGTGATCCTCGACGCGTTTTGGAACCTCGCCTTCGTTGTAGTCACGGCCATCACGCTCTTTATAAGCCAGGCGCGGCACGAGCACCCCCCCGCGCCGCTGTCCATCTGGTTACTCGGTTACGCCGTGCAATGCGCGGTCCACGTCATCTGCGTGCTGCTGGAGCACGAGCGGCGGGAGAGTCGGCGGGTGCGGGAGCGGCAGGAGCAGCGGGAGCAGCGCAGGGGGGGAGACGCGGGCGGGGGAGGGGGAGGGGAAGGAGACGGGGGAGGGAAGGGCGGAGGGAAAGGGGGAGGGAGAGATCACGAGAGGTAGTAATGGGGGTTGGGGGGGCGAATGGGGGGAATGGGGGCGCGCATGGGGAGGGGGCGCAATCTAATGGGGGAACGGGGGAAGGTCAATCGGGGGAACGGGAGGCAATGAGGGAGAGGGGGGATGGGGGGGGCTATGCGGAAAGGACAGGCGGCCAGAGGGAAAGGGGGGGAGAAGAAGACTTAAACGTGCGCAGGAGAGACGCGGGGAGAGTTGTGACTGTAGACGAGGCAGCTTCTGTGCTTATAACGGGAGGGGTTGTGCTATCAGAAAGGGAGGCGGGGGAGGATGAGGCGCTGCTGCTGGGTGAAGAGAGGGCGGGAGAGGAGGATGGGGGGAGGGATGCGCGGGCACGGGGAGTGGGGGGAGTGGGGGGCATGGGGGGAGATGAAGGAATGATGGTGGTGGGTGATGGCGGGGAAGAAGAGGAGGAAACGGATGACTCAGACCAGAGGTAAGAGTCACCGGCGGGTGGTGGTGTTCTCCCTTCCCTTCCTCTTCCCTTCCCTTCCCTTCCCTTCCCTGCCACTCTCCCATGCTCCAATCACCACCATTCAATCTCCATTCCCTTTGCCGCTCTGCCCTCTCATGCCCTCCCTCCCGGACCCTCCCTCTCATGCCTCTCCTGCCCTCCCTCTCATGCCCTCCCTCCCTCTCATGCCCTCCCTCCCTCTCATGCCCTCCCCCTCTCATGCCCTCCCTCTCATGCCCTCCCTCTCATGCCCTCCCTCTCATGCCCTCCCTCCCTCTCATGCCCTCCCTCCCTCTCATGCCCTCCCTCTCGTGCCTCTCATGCCCTCCCTCTCATGCCCTTCCTCTCATGCCTCTCATGCCTCGCATGCCTCGCATGCCTCTCATGCCTCTCATGCCTCTCATGCCTCTCATGCCTCTCATGCCTCTCATGCCCTCCCTCCCTTCCGGACCCTCCCGGATGTAATGAGTCGATTCTTGAGTCGACTCAATAATCGACTCATTACTCCCGGACCCTACCTTTCGACCATGATTACCTAATCCCCACCCTCCACTTCCCTCCTCCTTTCATTCACACTCGCTTTCTTCCCTTTCCCTCCCCTCTTGTACCTCTTTTTGAGTTAACTCAAAACGAAACTAGTATCACTCAAAACGAAACTACTATCACTCAAAACGAAACTACTGTCTTTCAAAACGAAACTACTATCACTCAAAACGAAACTACTATCACTCAAAACGAAACTACTGTCTTTCAAAACGAAACTACTATCACTCAAAACGAAACTACTATCACTCAAACGCAGCCGAGACCAAACCCTCATCCCCCACTTCCCCCCTCGCACCTCTGTCACTCCAGCCTCGCACGGCGCATCGAGTCGGCCAACACCATGTTCTCCTTCGCCTGGTGGCTCGTCGGCTTCACTTGGATTCTTTCCACCATCGACGACTCCTTCAAAGACGCGCCCATCCTCTCCTGGTGAGCGCATCGCGCACTGGGGGCATTTGAACCCATCTCCTGACGTCACTCCCACAACAAGTGTCGCCTTCACTGCGATTGGATCCTCTCCACCACCATCGACGACTCCTTTAAAGACGCGCCCATCCTCTCCTGGTAAGTGCATAGCACCCTGAGCATTTGAATATCATCTCCTGGCCTCATTCACTCAACAAGTCCCGCCCTCACTTGGGTTCTTTCACCATCGACGACTCCTTTAAAGACGCGCCCATCCTCTCCTGGTGAGGGCATTGTGTACTGAGTGTGTATTTGGGGGGGCATTTCTGGCCTGACTCACACACTTGAGGTTTGCTTTACTTTGATCCTTTCCACCATCGATGATTCCTTCAAGAAGGAGGCGCCCAACCTCTCCTGGTGAGATTTATTTTCTCGCCCCGGACACCTTACCTTGCCTCTGATAAGAGTACGGTGATCTTGCTTCTAAAAACTCTTCCCACCCTCCCCCGGAAACCCCCTCCCCTACACCCACCCCCCACACACTCCACCATCAGGGGGGCTGCAGCCTTCCTGGCGTTAGACGTGTTCTTTGTCGTGTTCTGCATGGCCGTGGCGTGCGTGGTGTGTGCTGCTGTCTGCCCCCACTTGAGTCCTGTATCTCGCTCTCTCCCCCTCCTCCCTCCCTCCCCCAACTGTCTCACTCCACCACCAGGGCAACCACGGCCTTCCTGGCGTTCGACGTGTTCTTTGTCGTGTTCTGCGTGGCAGTGGCGTGCGTGGTGGGCATGGCGGTGTGCTGCTGCCTGCCCTGCATCATCGCACTCATCTACGCCGTCGCGGACCAGGCGAGTAAATCAAGCAACACTGTACAGGTGGCCAAGTCTTAGCAGTGCGCTAGGTGCTAACAGCATAGCTGGCAGTGGCGTGTGTGGTGGTCATGGTTGTGTCCAGCAATCTTCTGCTCTCAGCATACCTTCACATCACCGCATCTTGCTCTTGCTCTTGCTGTTGCCCCTTCCAGGAAGGAGCATCAAGGGAGCAGATCGAGGCGCTACCAAAGTTCAAGTTCTACCGCCAGCGCACCGCCGCCAATAACCTCCTATGGCAAGCCAGCAGCGCCTGTCCCTTCCACTCTTGCTCCTCCTCCTTCCGCCCCTCCTCTTCGCCCTCCCTCTCCTCCTCCACTTCCTTCTCCTCCACTCCTGCCATCAGAACCCCCTCCTGCCCCTGCTGCTCTTCCTCTGCCTTTGCTGGTGCCATGTGGCGCAATGCGGTTGGCCTGGCTGCTGGCCTCTGGCGGCGGGCAGGCCGGGCAGGGGGAAATAACAACAGCAGAAATACTGCGAGTGGTGATGGCCCGGACGTCCGTGTGACTGTAGAGGAGGAGACAGGTGGCATCATGTCATTGGTTGGTTCGGTCCATCCGCCAAGGCAGAGGCATGTGGAGGCAGAGGATGCGGAGTGCTGTGTGTGCCTTGTGAGGTACGAGGATGGGTGTGTGTTACGGGAGTTACCATGCGCCCACCACTTCCATGCGGCATGCATTGACAAGTGGCTCAAATCGCACCCGACGTGCCCGCTGTGCAAGCGCGACATTACAAAGGGTGTTGGCAGCGCAGCAGCACCAGACAGGCAGCTAAGCTCACTCTCCGCTGGAGCATCGGAGGAACGGACGGGTGAAAGCACACTGTAGGGCAAGCTGGGATACCGCGAATAAGGGAGGGAGGGACATCTTCACCACTAGGCAACTTATACCGAAGGGCAATGCATCTCTATTCCAATCCAGTGAAAATTTGTGAAGCCACATGTCTAAGTTTATCTGTAATTCCCTTGCCTAAGAAGTTGGTAGGGGTGAAGGTAGCTTTTCTAAATATATGTGTTTTGCTTTACGTGTTTACTAGTATTCACGGTGTACCTAAGAGCGTGTTCCTACCAGCCCCTTCCCAAGCAACCTCTTCCAAGACTCGCGTGCTACAGTATCTCAAATTTTGGCGGGAAATGTTTCAGTGCAATTCGACGAAGTGCGAGGTGAGATTTGGCTTCCCGAGATTCAGGGGCGTGTTTAAAACCGATTTTCAGACGAGCAGATTTTCAGACAAGCGCGAATCTGCACAGTAAAATTTCGACGCCAGCTGGTTTTATGTGGTTGAGAGCGATGGAACGCAAATATGAAACAGAAGTATTCCGAAAAAGTGATCCTGCGAACACGCTATCAAGATCACGCGTGAGTCTGGGAAGAGGCCCGTAGAAACATGCTCTAAGTCAAACAGAGGGAGACTGTGCTTCGCAGAACTCGGAGGGACCTGTTTGAACCCGAAGGCGGCCATCGCGGAACCTCCACAACACAGACCTGGCGGGAAAGAAAACATTTCCGCGATACTCATTTGCGTGTACTAGCCAATCACAGGAGTTATTTCAGCTTTCCGCGCTTGCCCTGCCGACCTGTCAGCCAATCAGCTGCCTCGAAAACGTAAAAACTCGGCAACAGCTGGGAGGAAACGCGTTTGCAATTCTGGGTTTGACGAGCGACAATGTCGCGAACGGTTGACTGACGTCTGGTGCACGAAAGCTTCGTGTCAAGCTTAGCGTGCTGGGGGTTGCGCGAAGGAGTCCGCTTGGGAGGACGAATCTTGGGATTGCCTTGCCAGAGAACAAGTCTCAGCAGCAGTTCCAGCCAGACAACCATGCAAGTAAATATCGCACCGTCTCCTTCTCGCAGTCCAAGATAGTCCTCTCCCATCGCACTTCACTCTAGCCCACCTGCTCCTGACCCTCACAGCTTTCTATTACTTCTTTGGCCCATCTCAAGATTAGCTTCGTAGTTAGTTTTGTGGGCCTCTCCATATCCGCTTTTTAGCCAGCATGGCCGTATTTCATATCGCTCTGGCGACTCACTGTGCGAACAGCCAGTGCTTCTGCGCTGAGGTCATTCCTCTTGAAACGCCGCCTCACAGCCATGCATTTTGAGCCTACATGGCCGTATTTTGTCCTGGAGTTTTTCTCTGGTGATTTACTGAGGCGCAGCCAGAGCTGCTGAGCTGAGGTCATTCCTCCCTCCAAGCGCCTTCAGAGCGCCTTCCAAGGCCCTGAATAGCTCACCGTTTTATCTCTTGAGCTGTGCGCGTGCGCCTCTGGCTGAACAAGCCATGTCTTTCTGGCCTCATGTTCCAAACGCGCAGAATTGCGCGATGATTATTGATCCTGCATCAAGAACAACAAGGGACGGTAAGCGGCTGTGGATGGGATTTAAGGGGAAATGCTATATCTGTGTGTTGCTGTGTTACAGGGACGATACGCTGATCCATCGGGATCCCACGGCGAAAGCGGCTCGACACCACGCCAAGCACCACTGTTTCGGCGAGCAGCGCACATTCGCCTATCGCATAAAGACAGGAGGCAGAAAGTACCTGTAAACCTACCACCTACTGGGAACCCAAACGCGAGCAACAGGTTTCTTGAAGAAGCGACGACACGACGAGCCGACCCACACTGGACCACGAATCAGGGATCCACACGAGTAACGCTTGCGACTCACGACCCGCAGCACCAACAGTGAACCTCGCGCCGTCCTCGCCACATGGTGAAAAAAGGACGCTCCAATCTCGTCTGCTAGGACTCACATCGGCCAAAGCAGGATGGTCCTGGACATGCCACCTTTCGCATGACAAAACGTTAAGTAACGTGCGACCTCGCAACAGCCTTCACACTGCCCCCACTACCGATCAAACCATGCGAGAGCGCGTGGCTGGAACCAGCGTGCGTCACTTCTGATATAACCCCCCAAAGATAACCATCTCAAGATGCAGTGTGAACTTCTGAATAAAGGTGGAATGAATTTCACTCGCCATGGAACTTAAAATATGCTTCTACCTTGCTGCATGCTTTTGTGTCATTGTTCTTGTTCTCTCTACCTCCCATTGTCCTGTGTAGTACAAGTTTATTTAGCCTCCTTTGTAGTTCCACCTGTTTGTCGTTTACTAGACAGATAGATGGTGTGCATAGGGTTGATTTGAGCAGGGCTTGGGTGGAGCTATGGCTGAAGATGAAGAAGCATTGCCGAAGAGGAGGACGCATTAAGAGGAGGACGCATGAAGAGGAGGACGCATGAAGAGGAGGACGCATGAAGAGGAGGACTCATGAAGAGGAGGACGCATGAAGAGGAGGACGCATGAAGAGGAGGATGTTGCAAAGGGGGTCCAGATGCTGAACACATTGGTTCAGGCACGTGAAGGTGTCAGAGCAGGTGTAAGAGCTTTTAGAGATGATCGCTAAAATGTCTACACACATTTTTGCGCAAGGTTTATCGGGGATAATATACGTTATTTTGAACACTTCGTTGAGTCGCATCAGAATCTGGGAAACACCCTCATGCAGCCTCGTTTAGGTCACACGAACGAACCGCCAATCAGAATGCCTCGATTTTCCGCTCCATCGATATTCGCTCGCAGCCTCTCAGCCCTTCGTTTCACGGGTCACAGGGAATGGGCTTCACGTTGCGCTCTCCTCCACTCCTAAGCTGTCCTGTCCAGATTCTAGATTCCAGCAATAAGCTCTAGGAACGGCTGCTATTGCAGCCATATTCAGGGTTGAGATAGGAGCTCAGGTTGCCGTTCAGACGCGGTGATTCCGCGTAGTATCCCACGCTTTTCTGGTCAAGGGTGCTGGGTTGCTGCTAAACCCATCTGGCCACCATGGCTTCAGTGATCTTCACCATCCCGATTGCCGTCAACTTCCTCGCATCGAGTCTCATAGTGTCCACCATTCAGGTGTGCGACTTGTGAAGTTTAACGGATCTCACTATTGAACGTGAGATGCCGGCCTAAATTTTGCTCTCACCTCTATCCACCTATATCCCGTCTACTTCCGCTTTTCGTTGGAAAACCCCCTTGATTATCCGACCTCTCCTGCAGATCGCCCTCTCCATTCTCGTGTTCCCGATCAGCCCTCGCACGTACCGCGTCATCAATGCGTATCTCATGGGCTCCTTCTGGGGCATGTTCATCTGGCTCATCGAGTGGTGGGGCCGCGTCGAGGTGCGTGCTCTTAGAGATTTCTCAGTCAACTCAACGTTACCTACGGCTATTGTCTCATGGGCTCCTCATCAATGCGTATCTCATGGGGTCCTTCTGGGCCATGTTCATCTGGCTCATCGAGTGGTGGGGCCGCGTCGAGGTGCGTCCTCCACAGATCTGCGGCTCTTAGGGTATTCTTCAGAATCCTCGAGAGTACCGTCACCCCTCATCAATGCGTATCTCCTGGAATCGTTCTCGTGCATGTCAATCCGGCTTATCGAGTGGTGGGGCCGCTAGGGAGAACCACGAGAAAGCGCCTGCCGAACAGTGATTCTTCCTCAGGCCAGAACGCGTTACCGAAATAACCTATCGCTGAAACCTCGTTTTTCCCTCTGCTCGTGTATCAACTCGTTTCAACTCGTTTCGCAGGTCCGGCTGTACGGCGATCCCAAGGAGCACGCATACTTTGGTACGCGATTAATTTAACACTTGCATCCACATATGCCACACCCGGGCCGACACTGCATAGGATTTCTCTTCTTACCCTGAGCCCTTTTTTTTCCACCAATGTCCGCGCGTGATAATTTGGCTGGCTTCTGCACCCGCATATACTTTCGGGGCCTGCTCAATCCAGTCGTGCTGTGCGCGTCTCTCATGGCTTTCTGCTATGGAACCTCTATTGTGCGCGTGTCCTCCCGTGCTGTCTGGCAGGCACGGAGAGCGCCTTGTGTGTGAGCAACCACCGCAGCGACGTCGACTGGGCCATTGGCTGGCTTCTCTCCCAGGTGGGCGCTGCGAAACGTCTCTCAGGTGGGCGCTGCGAAACGCCCCCCAGGTAGGCGCTGCGAAGCGTCTGCTGTCTTTTCCATGCTAGCGTACTTGCCGGGGCAGCCATTCCAGCGATCATAGTGGCTGGCTTCACAGGCATTCCAGCAGCATAATACTGATAATGATGGGCCAAGCTAGAATGGAACCACGCCAGGAATGGAACACTGTCTTTCCCTCCCTCCCTCCCTCCCTCCCTCCCTCCCCCCCCTCCTCCCTCTCATGTCTGTCCCCTCCTCCCTGTTCCCCCCACCGCTGTTGCAGAAGTGCGGCTGCCTGGGAGGCTCGATCGCGCCTGTTGAGTCGACTCAGAAGTCATCTCTCCTGCCGGTTCTCTCCTCTCTATTTCCCCCACTCCCCCATCCCTCCCTCCGCCCCCATTGCAGAGGTGCGGCTGCCTCGGGGGCACGAGAGCGCTTATCAAGGAGCAGGCCAGGTGGATGCCCGTGATTGGCTGGTCCATGTGGTTCTCGGAGTACCTCTTCCTTGCGCGCAACTACGCCACCGACCAGACGAGAATACTCGTGAGTGGCCGTTTCTCTCAAGTGTTGAGATTTTGCATGCGTTTGTTTACTTTTTATTTTATTTTATTTTATTCCAACTGTCTCGGCGGCGTACCTGGCCTCGCCTTGCGTCCATGCTGCCTCCATCTCCCTCTGTGCCCCAGAAAAGCTCTAATTAATTTCTATCTCCCTGTTCCTTTTCTAGGTGACGCTGTTCACGGAGGGCGCCCAGTCCAGGCCGAAGAAGCCTCACGTAACAACAACCCCTCTGCCCCTGCTCTGCTCTGCTCCCCCCCGTCCTCCCCCTCGCCCCCTTTCCTTCCTCCCCCCCCAGGACGGCTACTTTTGAGTCGACTCAAAAGTCACCCAGTTCAGGTCGAGGAAGCCTCACGTAACAACTGTCCCTGCTCTGCTCCCCCCTGTCCTCCCCGCCCCCCTGTCCTTCTCCCCCCCAGGCCGGCTACGCTCGGCTGCGCAGATTCCCGTTTTGCGTCTGGGTGGCGCTGTTTATGAAGGGCAGGCGGTTTACTCCTGAGTCCTGACAAGACTCAACCCCCCTCTCCCTGTCCTCTACTCCCCCCTGTCTGCCCCTCCCGTCCCCAGGACGGCTATGCTCGGCTGCGCAGCTTCCCGCTGTACTTCTGGGTGGCGCTGTTTATGGAGGGCACGCGGTTCACTCCCGAGAAGCTCAAGGCAGCGCAAGAATACGCCAAGGAGGCCGGCCTGCCCATCCCCCGCCACGTGCTCGTGCCCCGAACCAAGGTGGGGCGGATTGCACCAAGGTGGGTAGGTCCAACCGGTTACGTAGGGCTTTAGGGGGTTTTGGGTTTGTAGGTGTTGCAAGGAGAAGCTCAACGCGGTGCAGGAATATGCCAAGGAGTCTGGCCTGCCCATCCCCCGACACGTGCTCGTGCCGTGCACTAAGGTGGGTAAGCCCACATAAGGTTGGTTGGTAAGCCCAATACTGGTTTGGTGCTCTGCTCCAAGGTGTGTAGGTTCGCAAGGAGCTCACTGCAGTCAATGCAAGCTTGGTCATGCATGCGATCACAGGCAAAGGAGACTGGCCCCACTAAAGCAGGCTTTCTAGTGATTAGGGATCAATGCTTGCATCTTTTGTGATAGGGAAAAGAGAATGTTAACCTGAATTTCCGGTTCCCTAGAGCTGGCGGAACTTGTTTTTTTAGTCGACTGATATTACCTGAGAATGGCAACTGAAGTTTCGGTTGCCTAGAGCTGGCAAAACGTTGCATTTTGGCATGTCGCTAAAAAATTCGGAGGCTCAAGGTTTCCCACCCAGCCCACTGTATTCGTGTGCCTGTACGCTTTCTCGAATTATTGTTATTCTGCGCTTCCTATCCGCCCATCCCATGCATTCGTTCTTGACACCAGGGGCTGGTGATGTCAGTGGAACAGACGAGGGGGCACGCTGGAGCTATCTATGACGTCACCGTCAACTATCCCGCAGGTAGAAGAACCCCCCCAACGTTCGCCAACATTCTCCCACTGTGCTTCCCCTGCTCCTGTCCCATGCATTCGTTCTTGACACCAGGGGCTTGTGATGTCAGTGGAACAGACGAGGGGGCATGCTGGAGCGATCTATGACTTCACTGTCAACTATCCCGTGGGGAAGACGCCCCCAACGTTCGCCAACATTCTCAAGAGAAAGGCCTCTCAGGCAAGTGTTTTTTTTAGGCGCCTCAGAAATAGACTACCTATGACTTCACTGTCAATCAACTACCCCGTCCCTTAGGGAGAACTCCCCAATCCTTCTCCAACATTCTCAAGAGAAAGCCCTCTCAGGCAAGTGACCCCCACCCCCCCTTCCCTTCGTTCTTCTGTTCTCTCTATATATCGCTCCTACCCCCTTTCTTTGTGCTCTCTCCACAACCACTCTCATTCCGCTTTCTTCCTGCATCCTCCCTTCCTTTCCCAACCTTCGGAATTACCGACACCCAACTGGGCTTGGCTCTAATGGTCCACTGTGCTAGTGCACCGCTGGCTCCCCATCCCACTTCCCGTTTCAATTGTCGACTCAAAAGTCACCTAGCTTGGCTCTAATGGTTGGCTGTTCTGGTAAGCTGCCACTGTGTCCCCATCCCTCACCCGCTCCCGTCACTCACCCGTTCTCATCCCTCGCCCATTCCCCTCCCTGCTGGTTGACATGCATGTCGGAGCTTGTTCCCACTGACCAGATTCCCAAGGATAAACCGTGTGTAATGAGTCGATTTTTGAGTCGACTAAAAAATCGACTCATTACACATAGGTTGCCGTGCATGTCGGAGCTTGTTCCCACTGACCAGATTCCCAAGGATGCAGAGGGCATCAAGGTGCCTTCTGAGTCGACCAAGGTTGAATAAAACGGCAGGCCGTTTTTTTCGGTCGTTTAAAACGGTTTTTTAATTTTTTAAACGCCGTTTTTTTGATAGAGTTTTTTTCCCCAAAAAAAAAAAAGGGACAGAAGGGGACAAAATAGACGACTATTGGTGGCTATGGCATGCATAGTACTAGGGGTCCTAACTGAACTAAATAGGCCCGCCAAAGCTCGAATCTGCCGCATATTCCTCCTACTTATTTCCCCCCTACACTACCTCCTACCCATCCTCCTCCTCATCCACCTACCCCTCCTCCTACCCCTCCTCCTGCCCCTACTCATCATCCTCCTCCTCTTCCTCGTCCTCCTCCTCCTCCTCCTCCTCCTCCTCCTCCTCCTCCTCCTCCTCCTCCTCCTCCTCCTCCTCCTCCTCCTCCTCCTCCTCCTCCTCCTCCTCCTCCTCCTCCTCCTCCTCCTCCTCCTCCCCCGAATCCTCCTTGTTGTCCTCCTCGGCCTCCTCCTCCTCTTCCTCCTCTTCCTCCTTGTCTTCCTCGTCGTCGTCCTCCTCCTCCGCCGACCCCCCCCCAACCCCTCCCGAACATTCGCGGACGGTTGGGTGTACACCCAACCGTCCGAATTCGATATCAAATTCGAATTGCTGCTGTACACCCACGGTTTTAAAAATTCGACTGTATAAAACGACCGTTTTTTTAAAGCAAAAAAAGGCTAACTTTCAGAACCGTTTTAAACCGTTTAAAACGACCGAAAAATACGGAACCGTAGCAAACGGTCTAAATCTGAAAAAAACGCCGTTTTTTTTAACCTAGGAGTCGACTCAAAAGTCACCTTGTAACAATGTAACGCAACACGCTCCCATCCCTCACCAGCTCCCATCCCTCGCCCACTCCCCTCCCCGCAGATTGACCTGTACTTTGAGCGGGTGCCAATAGACCAGATTCCCAAGGATGCAGAGGGCATCAGCAAATGGTGCCAAGAATCGTTTGTGAAGAAGGTGAGAGCAATAGGAGAAGCTCGTTGGTCATGAGTCATCATGATGAGTGCCCTGTGCATATTCTCCTGAGATCCATTTTTTAGGCGCCTCAAAGATGAGAATCGTTTGGGAAGAAGGTGAGAGCGGAAGGAGAAGCTCATGGGTCATGTCTAGTAGTGCCCTATGCATATTCTCATGAGATCGTTTTTTGAGGCGCCTCAAAAGTAAGAATCGTTTGGGAAGAAGGTGAGAGCGGAAGGAGAAGCTCATGGGGCATGACTAGTGCCCTATGCATGTATGTTCCCATCCCATAAGACCGACACGTGCCTTATGAGGATACCCATGGAGCAGACACCTCTATACTCAGCAGAGGGCATCGCCAAATGGGGATGCTTCGAAGGTGATGGTCTAGGCTATCAGGGGACCGACGAGTGGCTTGCGCCATAGGCGGTAGGCGTGCGAGAAAGGGGGGATGTGTGAGTTAAGAGTGTACTGTATGGGTAACCAAAACCCTATTTTTCTTTCGGTCTTCCTCCTCTCGCTCGGTCGCCCACCCCACCATGTCTGAAATGAGCAGGACAAGAACCTGGACGAGTACGTTGCAAACAACTGCTTTGATGAGAAGAAAAGACTCAACACGACCAAGTCTCCAAAAACCATCTTGGTCAGTACTCCGTCTTTAATTTTGCAGCTGTGCAGGCCCGCTGGTTGATGTGTTTTTTGCGTCCAGATGTTTCCAGTTTCTGATGTGTTCTGAGTTTTATTTGTGTCATTTTCACCTCTCATGCCCCTTGGTTTTGGCTGTTCCTCTATCTTACTGCTGCTGACCCCCTCTGACATTTTGCAGCACACATGCTTCTGGACGGCTTTAAACTTTGTGGTATATGGTTGGCTCTTCACTCGCAATGTATCTGCAATCACCTTTACATGGGCGACTGTGGGATGGATTGCTGTCGGTGTGGTTGCCGTGCTCGTCGTCGTCCAAGTGCTTCTCAGGTTCACCCAATCAGAGCACTCCACACCAGCATCTCGCCTTAACCGTAAATCAGCTTCCAAGGCAACCAAGGCTGAGTGAAGTAAAATATTAAGGCGGCCAGAAATAGGGGTTAGTTTCAAAATGGTCCTTTGCGACACATGGTAGACGACTTACTTATTATTTGAGCTAGGTTTATAGCACCATTTATTGTAGTGTAGTTTCTAAGTTCTTGCGGACTAGAGAGTTGTGGCAGACTAGCGCAATAATGTCGATTATGGTGTTGTCTCATTACCATCACACACGTCCAGCAAGCCTCCAACGAACCGCCCAAGGTCCGAAGTTCCCACGACCAAAAGCATTCCTGTTTGTTCTAATTATTCGTTTCAAAACACCCAGCCCGACTCCACTGAAGTTTGTCCCAGTTTCAGAACTCTGAACGATCTTGGATTTTTTTCCAGGAGGTCGTCCTTTAAAGGTCTGTGTGAGTCTGAAGATAGTGTGTTCCAGAGACCAGTATATCTCGAAAAACAGAGAGTATGCACCAGGCAGCTGCCCGCTTCCTGCCCGCATTTCGAGCTTTTCGTGGGCGCACAGCCTTCGCGAACCATCCAATAACCACCCCAAGTCCCCTGTGCTGTACTCGTTTGTGGCTGAAAATCACCTGGTTCCAACTATCTGACAAAACCATCATCCTCTTTAAATCCTCGATAAAAGCATACTCTATTCCACACCATCCCCCCAACCGCCAATGCACAACAATCGCTGGGCCTGCGTGGGCTTGATGCCCCTCATCCACCAACCTTCCTCCTACCTTCTTTAGTTTTAGACCCAAACCTAATGTTGCCGAGTCGGTTTTGAAGGACGATAGCCTATCTTCGTCGCCTGGTAACGCTATCGATGCTCCGTGTAGTAGAAGTCTGAAGACCCGTTTCGTCGACAGTTTCCCCACTATTATTTATATCACAACTCGGTGTCGCCCAGTAACCCCGTGCAGCTGCAAGCAACGAGTTGGTAGTCTAAGAACGAAGCAAAAAATCGGGTCTTCTAAAGACGCTTTCGTGGAAAGCTTGACTGTCTGTTGAAGGCGAAATAAATGGAAAGACACATTGGCTGCTGAAGCCATAGCTGTCTCGTAGAACTAACCATCCCTAATGGGTAACTGCTTAGGAGGGGGAGGCGGGGGAGGGGAGGTCGAACGGTTTCCAGAATCATCTCCATCTCACGAAGCTCCTGTCAAATGTAAGCCGTTGATTAGTTTCATCTGACATTTCACTGGGGTGGTTTTCTAGCCAGCTCATGTCGTCTTAGAAGCTTCCTACATAAAATAAGCTCTGCTCGTTAGTCGAGGCATTTGCCTTCTTTCCCACCGCTTTAATCGCTTGATTCCTTTGCCGACTTGCCCTTCTCTCCTTCGCGCTGGTCTATTTCTTCCTCCTTAGCAACTTGCTCTTCTCTCCTGTCTCTTATCTTCCTCCTTTTGTCCCGAGTTTAGCAATTTTCGTGTATGTCACCCCCGAGCATTTCCCGCTCTCTGTTTCTTTATGATAGTGTTTCTTCGTCGTTCTTTTTCTATCACGATGTGTGAAGCACTTCCCACTTCTACCGGTTTCCAAGCATTTCCCTGAACGATTTTAGAGCCACCTGTTTACTGATTGTCTTCCTCTCCTCGTTCTCCCTCCCCCCCCCCCCTCCCTTCCCTTCCCTTCCCCGTTTTGCGGACGTTTTTCCGCCGTTCTCCGCCTCCTCTTGCAGCGAACGTGGACATGAAGCGGCAGCGCAAACCGAGGAGCCTTTTGAGTCGACTCAAAAGTTTCCTTCTCTGTCCTGCCCGTTCTCCGCTCCCCCCTGCAGCGAACGTGAACGGACATGAGGCGCCAGCGCAAGCCGAGGAGCCTTTTAAGTCGAGTCAAAAGTTCCCTTCACTGCCCTGTCCGTTCTCCGCTCCCCCTTGCAGCGAACGTGAACGGACATGAAGCGCCAGCGCAAGCCGAGGAGCCGCCGAAACCCAAGGAGCCAGAGAAGCCTCGTACGTTTCTTGTGCTCTTATCGTCGCAAAACGTCGTGCTGTGTCAGTTGAGTCCGTGTTAGCTCCAGTCGTTGCCGAAGCCCAAGGAGCCAGAGAAGTCCCGTACGCCTTTTTTTCTGTTATCTTCGCAAAACGTCGAGCTTTTTTAGTGAAGTACGTGTTAGCGCCAGGTCGTATTTCACCCTCGTACGTGTCATGAAAAGGAGACAGGAAAAAGAAGAGCCCACCATGAATAAGCGAGACAAATCTTTCCGGTCCGCGGACGTTCATGCAAAAGCCAAAGGAAAAGAACCCCACCATGTCTTTCTCCCTCTTCCCCCTCTCGTTTTCCTCCCCCCTTCCTCCGCTGCCCGCCCCTCCTCCCCCCGTCCTCCCCCCGTCCTCTCCCCTTACCCCCCAGCACCCCCTGCCCAGAACGACAACAATGCCCTGATGGGCTTAGACATGCCCGCAGCGCCGTTCGAACTGCGGACGTTCAAGTTCAAGGAGCTGCACAAGGCGACGCAGGGCTTTAAGGAGCCCGACAACGTGCTCGGGGAGGGCGGGTTCGGCAAGGTGTACAAGGGGTTCCTGAAGGACTGGGAGGGCAGCAAGGAGGCCATGCCGATTGCGGTCAAGAAGCTCAACCCCAACAGCTTCCAGGGGCAGCAGGAGTGGCTGGTGAGTCAACGGTGTTGGGGAGGGAGGGCGGTTTTGGGAAGGGTGCAAGGCGTTCTGAAGGAAGGACTGGGAGGGCAGCAAGGAGGCCCATGCCGATCGCGGTGAAGAAACTCAATCTGAGCAGCTTCCAGGGGCAGCAGGAGTGGCTAGTGAGTCAATCTGAGAAGACATTCTGGCCATGCTGCCGTTTTCACCGCCCATGGCCCTTTCTCAACAGCCTTGCCCCTGTCTCAACCGCCCGTGTTCCAATCGCCTGTATGAGTGTCGCATTCCACATGCCTGTCCCTACTCCCTGTGCCCCTGTTCCAATCCCCACTCCCCGGTGCCCCTATCCCAACCCCCTGTGCACCTGTCTCAATCAATCCTCTAGGCTGAGATTCTGCTGCTGGGCCGCGTGCGACACCAGAATCTGGTGAAGCTTCTCGGATACTGCGCCGAGAACGGCGAGGGCATGCTGGTATATGAGTTCCTTGGCAAGGGCAGCCTCGACTACCATCTCTTCCCAGGTCAGTGGCAGTGTTCCTGTACTTGCTAGAGTCAGCCTCGATTACCACCTCGTCCTAGGTGTGGGAGGTGGTTACCAGGTTTGGAGGGTGAGATCACAGTGGTGCGAGGGCATGCCCGTGTGTACGAGTTTCTGGGCAAGGGTAGCCTTGACTGATACCTTTTCCCAGGTCAGTAAAAAACACGCCTAGTTTCAATCTGCGTACCATCAGCAGGCGAGAAACCCGCCTAGTCTCAAGAACAACGAGCAATAAACAACCTCCTAAGTTGCCCACCTGTTGCCTCTCCCTGTCTCTTCCTGGTGTTTCTTCCCAATCTTCTCCTACCAACAGAGCCCAAGGTGGACGAATCCATCACCCCCCCACCTCCCCTCCCCCCCCCCCGCCCCCGCCCCCGCTGTCGTGGGAGGTTCGCGCTGGATGCTGTCTGGCTACGCACACAGTTGTTGAGGCGCCACTAACATCCTTTCCCTCTATTCCTGTCTCCTCTCCTCTCCTCTCTCTTCTCCCACCATCAGAGCCCAAGGAGGACGACCCGACCCCGCCCACCCCGCTGCCGTGGGAGGTTCGTCTGCGCATTGCCCTGGATGCTGCCGCTGGCCTGGCCTACCTGCACGAGAACAACGTCATTCACCGCGACTTCAAGGCGCCCAACATTCTGCTGGACGATGTGAGTGCCTTACAAGCACAGCGAATCTCTGGGAAGGGAAGGAATCACCTGGGAAGGAATCACCTGGAAAGGAATCACCTGGAAAGGAATCACCTGGGAAGGAATCACCTGGGACGGAATCACCTGGGAAGGAATCACCTGGGACGGAATCACCTGGGAAGGAATCACCTGGGAAGGAATCACCTGGGAAGGAATCACCTGGGACGGAATCACCTGGGAAGAAATCACCTGGGAAGGAATCACCTGGGAAGGAATCACCTGGGAAGGAATCACCTGGGAAGGAATCACCTGGGAAGGAATCACGTAGCTGGCCTGGCCTACCTGCACGAGAACAACGTCATCCACCGCGACTTCAAAGCTCCCAACATTCTGCTGGACGACGTAAGTGTTGGGCTACTTAAGGAGTAATGAAATGAAAGCCATCTCATGCCTGGCATATCTGCACGAGAACAACGCCATCCGCCGCGATTTCAAGGCGCCCAACATCCTGCTGGACGATGTGAGTGCTTTTTAAGCCCAGCGAGTCACTGGGAAGGGAAGGAATCACCTGGGAAGGAATCACCTGGAAAGGAATCACCTGGAAAGGAATCACGTAGCTGGCCTGGCATACCTGCACGAATGTGCACTCACACCCCCCATCTCCCCACCTTCATGCCTCTACAGGACTGGTCCGCCAAGCTGACTGACTTCGGGTTGGCCAAGGGAGCAGACACGGACCAGACGCATGTGACGACGCGCATCATGGGCACCATGGGGTACCTGGACCCAAAGTACATGGAGACAGGCCAGCTCACGCGCAAATCCGATGTGTACGCCTTCGGGGTCATGCTGCTCGAGCTCCTCACCGGCAAACGCGCCATGGACCAAACCCAGCAGGGGATGCCGCCCCTCACTGCCTGGGCGCAGCAGTATTTGAACCAGCGGAAGCCGGATATCGGCGCGCTGGTGGACCCGTGTCTGCTGGACCAGTTCACAACGAAGGCGGCGCAGCGGGCAGCGCACAAGCTGGCGATCTCGGCGAAGCATTGCATTGAGGAGGATCCGAACCTGCGCCCACTGATGAGCGACATGGTCGAGACGCTCCGCCCGCTGGTGGCCGCCGCACAGGAGCAGTCCGCTGCTGCTGCTGCGGCAGCGGGGGGGAGTGCCGAGTGACATGATTGGAGTTGATCAGGGGGGTGGGGAGGAGAAGAGGGATGGGGATGAGCGACATGGCTGAAACTCTCCGCCCGCTGGTGGCTGCGGCTCAGGAGCAGTCCGCTGCTTCCGCTGCTGCAAGTGCTGGAGGGGGTGCCGAGTTAGCATCAGAAGTCAGGGGATGGGGCGGGGAGGAGGACGGGGATGGGTGGGAAGGGTTTGGCACACGGGTGGGTGGGTGGAGGCACGGCATTGAGGAGGTGTCGGCTGCTGCGGCAAGTGCGGGGGGGAGCGTGGTGTGAGGTGCTGTGACTATTAGGGTTCGTGTGGTGGGGAACCGAGAAGTGTGGCGAAGGGTGCATTGTAAGTGGGAGCCGACGGCTGTTGATGTGGCCGCATCACCAGCTGGGCAGGGGAGAGGGGGGGACTGATGCAGTTTGATTGGGCTGCGGCCCAGGAGAAATCAGTAGCTGCGAGGGGGTGGAGGAAATTGAGAATGATGTGGAGGAAGGGAGGATGGGTTGGGGACGGGGAAGGGGAAGGGGGGGGGAGGAAGGGGCGCACGAGGAATGGAGATACTTCGGTCGCTGGGGCCAGCTGCACAGGAGCAGCCGGTGCCAACAACTGCTGCTGCTGCTGCTGCTGCCGCCGCCGCCGCCGCCGCTGCCGCCGCCGCTGCTGCTGCTACTGCTGCTGGGGGAAGATGAAAGGGTGGAGGTGCCCGGCTGTACGTTATTTATTGAGCCTCGTTTTTTGAAGCATCAAAGGTCTGTCATGGTGTCTGGAGCTCGGGAGGGTGAAGGTTCGTATCGTATGCTGCTTTGGCACTGACAGGCACTCAAGTGTAGATTCTGTCCGATGTGCGAGGGCGTGGGAACTAGTATGCGGCAAAGCAGCTGTATTTGGCTGAAGTGGCTTGGAGTCTCAAAGACATGCCCCATGGTGTTGCAGGGTCTACTGGATCCGCTCTGCACTCTCTACTGCAGCCATTGAGAGAGTGTATCCTCTGCTGATTCCTTCGGGCTGCCAGCACAGTGCCAGCACACTGCCAGCACACTGCCAGCACACTGCCAGCACACTGCCAGCACAGTGCCAGCACAGTGCCAGCGCACTGCCAGCACACTGCCAGCACACTCACTGGTGGTAGCCGTCAGAGCAGCAACTGGGGTATGCGATGGGCTTATGGTGTTCAAAGTTTCCACAGCTGCTCTTGGGGCAAATTGGAGGTCTGGACGTTTGCAAGGGTGGAGTAGAGGCAGGCAAGCTGACAAGAACTGGCCTGAAACTAGAAGAGAGCATTAACGTGGGTTTCTTGTCCAAGCAAGGCTGCATGGATCTGTCAATCGATGCCAGTAGGTGGATCTGTGGATATGGAAGTAGGTGACTATGGTGTGGTGTGTTACTCTAGGTTTTAGTCTAGGGGTGAGGTTGATGCTGAGCTGATGCTAGTAGAGCTGGGGTATCTGCTGTGCTGCATGTGACAATGTGCTTTGAACTGTGCTGAAGGGGTGAGATCTGTTGCATGCGTAATCAACCATGGCAATGCATAAGCATCACCTATGTTCATTCTTAGTCAGAGGCTTGTATCAAACATGTGTATCTCTTATGTTTGCATATACTATATAGGGTCACCTTTTAGAGGGTACAACACATATATATTCACCTGTACTCTCTCTCTCTCTCTCTAGTTATCATTCATTCCGTTTTGAGATGGTATCAGCAGTAGGTAGGTCCCCGCCCACCCACGCTTCCGCTCTAGGACCTACCCTCCCCGCCAGGCCTGACGTTTCAAAAAAACCCCCTCTGAGCTGTCGACTAAAAAAAAAAAAATACCCTGAGGGCTCAGTGTTCAAAATTTGCCTACCCTGATTTGTAAGTGTTCAGAAATCAAGAACCCTGAAAATCCCAGGGTTCACCGAACGCATTCAGGGTTGCCTTCAACACGAGGGAGGAATAAAAAATGGGGGGAAAAAGGGGAGGGAATCAAACCGAGGGGAGGGGAAGAGCGAAACGGAGGGGAAGGGGGAGGATGGAAACATAGGGGAAGAGAGGAAGCGAAACGGGGAGGGAAAAAGTGAGGGGAGGGGGGGGGGGTTTCGAAATACAGTAGAGAGGAATGGGAGAAGCGAAACGGAGGGGAAGGGGGAATCGAAACAGAGGGGAGAGGGGAAGCGAAACTGAGGGAGAGGTGGGGATCGAGGCGAATGGGGAAGTGGCAGAAACCTCTCGCGCTTGCAGCGCCATGGGCGAATCGAGGACGTTAATCATACGCGATCATCTAACGGCTGAAATTTGTCGAAACGATCGCGATTGATCGTGGCCGTCAAAGTTTGATGGACTTTCAGTTGACCACACGGGCAATAAAAAAACTTTCCTTAAGAAGGGAGCATTGTCGCTAGTACCCTTCTATGACTTGACCGTTAGCCTTTTTTATGGGTTGTGGGAGTGTGGGAGGGGGGATAACTTGTGTACAATAGGACTAAGCCGTTTTTTTTTTGTGCTGTCACTTCCTATCAAGACTTAGCTAATTTTTGTGGGTTGTTGTTAGGTGTGTAGGGGGGATGTCTGTACGACACATGACTTAGCCAATTTTTGTGGGTTGCTTGATGTGTGAGGGAATGTTTGAGGACTTCACCAATTTTTGTAGGTTGTTGCGTGTGGGGGGGAATGTCTCTGGAGATTGGGGACTTCGCCTTAATTTCCGCATTGTGAGCCACATGGATGTCGCACTCAGGGTTCGTACGCGTTACTCCCTGAAAACTCAGTTTTGGGATAACGCAAACCCTGAAATTCTCAGTGTTCACAGACATACAACCCTGAAGAGGTTAGGGTTCAAAAAAGCCCAACCTTGAAAATTAAGGGTTTGGCAAAAAAAATACCCTGTGAAATCAGGGAATCAGGGTAAAATACCCTGATAACGACAGGCCTGCTCCCCGCCCTACCGAGGCCGCCACAGGTGCCCCCCTGTCCACGTTCCCCCGGGACCCGGTGTCCGGCCTGTTCACCCTGGACACCGTGACCCCCCCGGCTGGAGCGCCCCTTCAGGTGGCCGCGTCTACCCAGGTTGCTGCTGCCTGCTCCTGTCGGTCCCTCACTCACCCGACTCTCCTTTGGCATCACCGCCTAGGTCACCTTGCGCTCCCGCGTCTGCGTCACATGTCCCAGCACGGTCTCGTCCTTGGTCTCCCTAGTTCTCTCCCCGCTTTTCCCTCCTCCCCTGCCCCACCTTGCACGCCTTGCGTTGAGGGTCGGCTTCGCCGTGCCCCTCACTCCTCCTCGTTTCCCGCTACCGCCGCGCCGCTGCAGACCCTGCACATGGACGTCTGGGGCCCCGCCCCCGTCCATGGGTCGCGTCGAGAGCGCTACTTCCTCGTGCTTGTCGACGACTTCACTCGCTACACCACCGTCTTTCCCCAGGAGCGGAAGGCCGACGTGCCTGACGCTCTCATCCCCTGGCTTGTCTCTGCGCGTGTCCACTGAGGTCTCCCTGTCTTGCGTCTTCACTCAGACCGTGGTGGCGAGTTTGCCTCAGGTGTCCTTGGTCGCTTCTGTCGTGCGGAGAGCATCACCCAGACGTTCACCCTGCCGGACTCCCCCCAGCAAAATGGGGTCGCTGAGCGACGCATCGGCTTGGTCATGGAGATTGCTCGCACCTCCATGATCCATGCCGGTGCACCCCATTTTCTGTGGCCGTTCGCCGTGCGCTACGCTTCTCACCAGCTTAACCTGTGGCCGCACCCCCAGCAGCCGCAGGTTTCGCCGACCCGTCTTTGGACCAGGTCACCTGGTGACGCGTCTGGGTTCCACATCTGGGGCTGCCTTGCTCACGTTCGTGCCTCCGGCATGGACAAGCTTACTGCCCGCACCCTTCCCTGTGTCTTCCTAGGTTTTCCCCTTGACGCGTCCGACTGGCACTTCTACCACCCGTCGTCTCACCGGTTCTTTCACTCCCGCGACGTCACTTTTGACGAGTCCGTCTCCTTCTTCCGCCGCTTCCCCCACCGCGGTCCCCCTGTCACCCCCCCCCTGTTCCTGGTCACTCCTTCCCCGATGGTTCCCCCCCCCCCCCCTCCACCTCCCCGTCTTGCCCCCTCCGGTGTGTCCCACGTCACCCTCCTCCCGTCGGTTGTCCTGGTCGAGGAGTCCTCTGACTCTGGTGGTCCTGCGGCGCAGTCCTCGCCGTCTGCCCCTCCCCAGGTGTCTCCTCCTCCGCCGCCTCTGCCGCCGTCGCCTCTGCCTCTGCAGCCGCCGTCGTCCCCGCAGCTGCCGCCGCGGTCGCACCAGCCGTTCGTTGCCTCTGGAGGTGCTGGCGTTGGAGTGGGTCCTAGCCCCTGTGGCCCTGGGGGTGGTGCCGGTTCACGAGAGGTTTCGGGCCCTGGGAGTGTTCCTTCTGGGGGTGCTGGAGTGGAGTCTGCCGGTGGTACCCGAGGAGCAGCCTGCAGTCCCGGTGTCGGCGTTGTGCCGCCGCAGCAGCAGTCCCCGCCGGTGTCTGCCCTTCGCCTGCTCGGCCTTCCGTCCCCTGACTCTGCGTCCGTTCCTCTCCTCCCATCTCCTCCTCTTCCCGTTTACGGCCCTGTGTTCCCTCCGCCAAACTCGTCCCCGGCTCGTCTTCCCCCTCGCTCTCCCCTTGCGTCCCCTTCTCTGTCTCCTGACCCGACTCCTCCGGCTCACGTCTGGTCTCGCCGCCCCTCCCGTGCTCATCCTGTCTCCCCTGTCTTGCGCTCTCACCCTATGTAACTTCGTTCCCACGCGTCTTGTCCTCCCCTTCTCCCGGCCCCTCCTCCGTCCTCCCTTGTTGTTGCGCCCCCCCCTCTGTCTGACTACCTGCTTGCCGCTCGTCCTCTTCTTCCTTGGGTCCTTGCCTTTCTCGTTACCGACCCGTCTGTTCCGGTTTCGTGTCTTCGCGCTCTTGTCACTGCGGTCGCTGACTTCGCCTCTATCCGCCGCCTTGACTATGCCGCCGCTCTGGTCTATGACCCTACCTGTCCTCCGTCTGTCGGGGGTGCTCCTGCCCTCGGCAGTGACGTCCTGGAGGACCGCCAGTACGAGCTTGCTTTCCTGTCCGAGGCTGCTCCCCATCTCTGTTCCATGCTGCTAGTCCCTGAGGGTAACCCAGACGCTTTCGACATCCCGACCCCTCGCACTTACGCTGAGGCTGTTTCGGGACCTTGGGCCTCTCAGTGGATAGCTGCCATGGAGCAGGAGATGGCATCTTGGAGATCCACCGGCACTTTCGTCGACGCAGTTCCCCCACCTGGGGTGAACGTAGTCGATGGCCGCTGGCTCTTCAAGGTGAAGCGCCCTCCTAGAGAGCCGCCTGTGTTCAAGGCGCGCTACGTGGCTAGAGGTTTCAGTCAGCGTGAGGGGGTGGACTTCTTCCAGACCTTCGTTCCGACCCCGAAGATGACTACTCTTCGGGTTCTGTTACACCTAGCAGCTCAGCGTGACTACGAGCTTCACTCCCTCGACTTCTCCACTGCTTTCCTTTAGGGCAGCCTACACGAGCAGGTCTACCTGCGTTGCCCTCAGGGCTTTACTGGCACCTTCCCTCCTGGGACCCAGTGGCTCCTGCGGCGTCCCGTCTACGGCCTGCGGCAGGCTCCCCGTGAGTAGCACGACACGCTGCGTGCTACACTTGCTGACCTTCAGTTCTTTCCGTCCTCGGCAGACCCCTCACTCTTCGTTCGTGCTGGCCAGACTCCGTTCTACATCCTTGTGTACGTGGACGATTTGGTCTTTGCCACAGCAGACAGGGACGCACTGGCCTCCGTGAAGGCAGAGCTGCTGAAGAGACACACTTGCACTGACCTTGGAGAACTGCGCCGTTACCTTGGCTTGCAGATCTCCAGGGACAGAGCAGCGCGCACCATGACCTTTACTCAGTCACACTTGGTGCGCCAGGTCCTTCAGAGGTTCAGCCTTCAGTTCTCCTCTGCACAGCCCACCCCTCTACCTCTAGCCCACAGGTTCTCCGCCCCAGTTCCTGAGGAGTCAGTAGAGCCCAGTGGTCCTTACGCAGAGCTGGTGGGTTGCACTCGCCCTGATCTCGCATACCCTCTCAGCATCCTGGCTCGCTTTGTGGCCACTAGCAGACACCGACCGCAGCACTGGTCTGCCGCTAAGAGGGTTTTGCGTTATCTTGCGAGTACATCGGGCATGGGGTTAGTGCTGGGAGGGCGCAGGCCAGTGGTCCTTACTGGACACACAAACGCTTCGTGGGCAGACGACGCTGAGACACTCAGGTCTTCCCAGGGCTACTGCTTTAGCCTTGGTTCAGGTGCCGTCTCGTGGAGAGCTACCCGTTCCTCGTCTGTTGCCCAGTCCAGCTGTGAGGCCGAGATCTACTTCCTCCTGCACGAGCTACAGCAGCGCCGCCAGGCTCGCGTAGTACACCTGGCCTCCGGTGCCAACACAGCTGATATCTTTACGAAGGCGCTTGCGCCTAAAGATCATCAGCGGCACTGTGTACAACTCGGTCTAGTTCCTGTAGCCTCTCACTTGCTAGGACCTTGACCTTGTACTGTCCTATATATCTATATGTACTCAGACTGGACTTGTGTCCTCTACCAGTGGCTGGACTAGTAGTGCCTCCCTGGTCTTGTTCTTGCCTTGCCTGTACTCCTTCTGACTAGTCATTAGACCCTTGTCTCAGTGGCTGGACTAGTAGTGCTGCCCTGAGCTGCTTGTTCAGGACCTGCCCCTATGTAGTCTAGGGGGTGTGTCAAACATGTGTATCTCTTATGTTTGCATAGACTGTATAGGGTCACTTCTTAGAGGGTACAACACTTGTATATATTCACCTGTACTCTCTCGCTCTAGTTATCATTCATTCCGTTTTGAGAGCTTGTTTGTTTCTTTCCCAACACCTGTGCAATCAATACACTTATGATCTCCATTGAGCATGTCTTGCGCAAGGTCAACCACCTGCTTGCACACAAACGAAGGGCAGCATGAGGTGAGGAGGAGGCAAGCAAGGTACGGTGTGTGTGTTAGGAGAAACATAGGCATGGATGATGGACAAACATTCAACATTCGATGCAGCTGACTGCCAGAGGTACTAGTAGGCAAGGTCAGTCGAGCAAATAACTGCAGCACGCGCACGAAGGATTATATTTAGTGGTGTCATAGTGGTAAGAAGAAGAGTCACGAGTAGTAAAGGTAGTGTAGTGTACCTCATTGGAAAGAGTGTTTGTGAAGAGCAGCGTTTGGCGGCTGGTCGGGAGGAGTGGGCGGATGGCAAGCATTGTTCGAGCGAATCCCATGTCGACCATGCAGTCTAGGTCCTCGAATACAAGCACCTGAAATCACGGTGTATGAAGGAAGGGCAGTCTCAAGAAGCTGAGGAAAGAAAGCATGGTTCGTCATATGGTGTGGGTAAGCCCCATCAAAAGCATGTGGTTTATTTCCTTGAATACAAGCGTCTGGAAGCAACGATAACGGGATAGACATACACGAGCATACAAAGACTGCACATGCACACCCCGTAGTTGCTGTACACCATACTACCCATCCCTCTGCTGCCTAGCTTCAGCTCCTGCACTTGGGTCCCGATGCCCTGCGTGAGTAATGAGTCGATTTTTGAGTCGACTCAAAAATCGACTCATTACACTTGGGTTCCCATGCCCCGCGTGAGCTGCAAGTGTGTCATGCGTCTGTTTCTGAGTCGACTCAAAACAAGACTCGTTACACTCGGGTCCGCATGCCTTGCGTGAGCAAAGGATCCAGCAGCCGACCAGGGGTACCTACCAGCACCTGGCACTAATGCTGCTGCTCGCACCTCTGCTCGCCGCTCTCACTTTCAGCCCCTGCAATCGGTGCTACTTTTGGCCCAACAGCCGGATGGGAGTAGCAGCAATCCACTTCACACACACTGCCAGTTGCTGCATACCGTACTTATCTTGAGGCGCCTCAAAACCAGTTGCTGCATACCGTACTTATCTTGAGGCGCCTCAAAACCAGTTGCTGCATACCGTACTTATCTTGAGGCGCCTCAAAACCAGTTGCTGCATACCGTACTTATCTTGAGGCGCCTCAAAACCAGTTGCTGCATACCGTACTTATCTTGAGGCGCCTCAAAACCAGTTGCTGCATACCGTACTTATCTTGAGGCGCCTCAAAACCAGTTGCTGCATACCGTACTTATCTTGAGGTGCCTCAAAACCAGTTGCTGCATACTGTACTTATCTTGAGGCGCCTCAAAACCAGTTGCTGCATACCGTACTTATCTTGAGGCGCCTCAAAACCAGTTGCTGCATACCGTACTTATCTTGAGGAGCCTCAAAACCAGTTGCTGCGTACCTTACTTATCTACATGCTTCCTACCTTCAGCTCCTGCACTCGATTCCGCATCCCCTGTGTGTGCTGCAAGTGGTCCAACAGCCGACCAGGAGTAGCCACCAGCACTCACCGATGTTGCCTCTCTTACCTTAGCTCCCTCCCTGCACTCACCTTCAGCTCCTGAACTCGATTCCGCATCCCCTGTGTGTGCTGCAAGTGGTCCAGCAGCCGACCAGGAGTGGCCACAAGCACCTGACACGGCACCTGCTGCAGTCTCCTTCCCTCACTGTCCATATTCACTCCCCCCACCACCATCTGTGCCCCCACTCCCTGCTGCCCAATGCCTCCCACTCCCGCCCCCTTCCCCTTCACCCTTTCCGCCCGCCTTGCTCGATCCCCTCCTCTCCTCCTCCCCATCGTTATCACTCCCCACTTCCCTTCCTGAGATTGCGTGAGCTGCGGCGGCTGTGGCATTTGCTGTGTCGACTGCAGCGGGGACTGTGGCAGTGACTGCTGCACCCGACGCAGCTCCAGCACTCGCTGTGCCTGCTCTAATACCCTCTCTGCTCTCGCTCTAGTGGCGCACACCAGCAGCACCTCCACTGGCGTGCCGGCTCCAGCTAGCAGACGAGTGGGAGAGTCCAAGAGACTTGAGAGGAGCCTGTCAAGACAGGGGAGCTGGAGGGCAGTGGAAGAAAGTGGGCCAGGGACACTTCATGCTCTCTTCTTAGTATGACGTTCCTAGGGAAGAGAGTGGGACAGGGAGACGTCATGCTCTCTTCCTAGTATGACGTTCCTAGGGAAGAAAGTGGGCCAGGGACTAGGAAGAGAGCCTGACCCACTTTCCACACGAGCAGCACTTCCACTGGAGTGCCTGCGACAGCAAACAGACAAGTGGGAGAGTCGCTGGGACTTGAGAGGAGCCTGTCAATGCACGGGAGCTGGAGGGTAGTGAAGGATACACGAAGAGGGTTAACCTTTAAAAACACTAGAGATGACCACATTAGCAGCAGATTTACTGGTGTTCACTACGCAGATTGGACAAATTGCACAATCTCAAGGACCAGCAAGGAGAACAAACACTTGCTGGATCACGCACTATTGCAAGAATCTGCACTCTAAATCTTGCAGCTACTGCCGACTCACTACGCAGCAGAGAGAGAGTGGGAATGCAGTCAAAAGAAACATCCAGCTCACCAGATAAGCCATGGCCTTGCCTGCACCTGGACTGGTGGTCATCACCAGCAGATCGGAACCTGGAGGCAGGGAGGCAGGGAGGCAGGGAGGCAGGGAGGCCGGGAGGCAGGGAGGCAGGGAGGCAGGGAGGCAGGGAGGCAGGGAGGCAGGGAGGCAGGGAGGCAGGGAGGCAGGGAGGCAGGGAGGCAGGGAGGCAGGGGAGCACAAAGGAAGAAGGGAGGCGTAGAGAAGAGTTGAAGTCACAAAGATAGGGAGTCGGAGGGGGGGAAGAAACAAAGGGATACGAGAGAGGGGGACACGAGAAACAGACAGATACGAGAGGGATGCGGTTGAGATACTAGGACACGAGGGGGATGCGGGTGAGATAATAGTTGTGAGGAAGGGAAGTGCGGTGCGCGGGCTACTGCGTGGGGCACATCACACCATGCAGCAGAATGAAAGAAAGCACACAACCTGTTAGTACATGCAGCATGACAGCAGCGTGCAGGGGAGTGCAGCGGTGAAACCCCAAGTAGGAATGGATGGCTGAAAGCGTAGTTCCTGAGAGCGGGAGCGATGACAGCGACTCGCAGGGGAGTTTCGGAGAATTCTAAAAAACCAGCTCCCTCCACCCTACCTGCCAGTATGTGCGGTATGACAGCAGCCTGCAGGGGAGTGCAGCGGTGAAAGCCCAAGTTGGAATGGATAGCTGAGAGCAAGGCTGGTGTGAGACACAGGGATGAGAAAGCGCATGCCTCCACTCCTGCCACGCTCCCCTCCCGCCCCTGGGACTCTCGGCCCTCGATTCCGCACCTACCACCACTATCACCACTCTCCGTGTTGCCACCACGAGCACCATCACCCTCCGTGTTTTCAACAATGCTGGCAGAACCAGCAGCACCAGCATGACAGACAGCACGAGCAGCTGCAGGGGGGGAAGGCCGCTGCATTGCGAATGGCACAGACAGCAGGCCTCTTGACGGGACCGCAGGCCGTAGGTGCGAGGTGGAGCGGGGAGGAAGCGCGAGGAAGGATGGAGACGGGCGGTTGAGCATGGGGCGTGGCAGAAGGGAGGAGAGGGATAGCAGAGGAGAGCGAGAGAGGACAGGCCTGTGGCTAGCTGAAGCCGCAGAAGAAGAAGCAGAAGCAGCAGTGCCGCCAGCAGGAATCATGCCCATGGGTATAGAGAGAGGCAGTGCCATGGGCAAGTGCATGGGCGTGGCTATGCCTCTTGCGATGGCTGATGCTGATACATCCCGTTTCCTCCTCCAAGCACCACTTGTACTGCTGTTGCTGGTGCTGCTGCTGGTGAGACTGCTGCTGGAAGTGCTGCCACTGCGGCTGCGGCTGCTGCCACTGCTGCCATCACCCGTGGTGCCATACCCCGCATCCCCATCATCACGACCATGGACTCGATTCTTCTCACCCATACCATAACCACCGCTATCACAATCACCTTCGTTACTACCAACACCATCAGCAGCAGCGGAGTTAGCCAGCCACGGTATCTGCATGAAAGCCCTCTTCTCTTCCTCCTCCTCCTCCCTCATCCCCCATCCATACGCCTCTCTCCCTCCCACACCCACACTCCCTACCACTCCGCCCCTTCCGCCCATGCTTGACCCTTGGCCAGGGCTGCCCTTGGCACCTCTGCTTCTTCCAGCTGTCCGCGAGGCACCACCAGGAGGAGTGGTCACAGGTTGGGTATCGTACTCGCTATAAACAGACCCTGTGTCTCTCTCTAGCGGCCCGTCGTCCTCGTTCCACAGGTCTTCCACGTGCTTGGCTTTAATGTGCCGACTCAACACCTCCTCAGGCACCGGGGGCAGCACAAGGGACCCTCTACCGCCCCGTGCTTGCCGGCTCGACCCTTTGAATGCTCCTCTCTGCCCCCCTCCCCTACCTCTCACTCCTCCTCCGCCTCCTCCTCCTCCTCCTCCTCCTCCTCTCCCTCCGCGCACTTCCCCTCCCCTGCCCCCCTGTCCCTCCCTCCCCGCCTCTGTTCCTGCCTTGGGAAATGCCAATGGCTCTGCCTGCGGGTTCCAAGGCGCATCAGAAGAGGCTGTTGCTTCGGGCCCACGCACCCTTCCATCCACTCTTGCCTTCCCTGCGACGCTTCCGCCCCCTCCGCCCCCTCCTCCCCCTCCTCCCCCTCCTCCCCCTCCTCCCCCTCCTCCCCCTCCTCCCCCTCCTCCCCCTCCTCCCCCTCCTCCCCTTCCTCCTCCCATCGCATCTCCTCCCATCCCCCCTCCTCTCCTCTCTCCCTCTCCCCTCCCTCCGTCTTCCCTCCCTCCTCCACTTCCCCCTCCACTCCCCCTCCACTCCCCCTTCCACTCCCTCCTTCTCCTCCCCTCCCTCGGCCATATAGCCCCCCTCCTCCCACCACGTCCAACCCTCTTCTCCCTCCTCGCTTCCTTCCGCTTCTACCCACCCTTCCTCTATTAACCCCTCCATCGCTCCCTCTCCCTTCATCCTCCCCCGACTCAACCCACTACCGTCCCCCTGGCCCCTCCCCCTTGCTGCTCCCCTCTCCCCCCTCCCCCTCTCCAAACTCCCCCTCTCCCCTCTTCCCCTTTCCACCCTCCCCCTCTCCCCCCTATCCCATGGGTGCATTCCCCCCTGGGGCCCCAACTCACCATCCTCCTCCCACCACACGCGCCCCCCCTCCTCCCCCCGCTGCTGTTGGCGCATTCCCCCATCCTCCCCTCTCCGCCACTGGCGCATCTCCCCCTCCTCCTTCCGCCGCCACTGGCGCACTTCCTTCCCCGCCAGTGGCGCAGTGCGCCCCCACTGCCCCTCCCCATTGCGCTGTTCCCGCCTATCGCGCTGCCCCCCCCAATCCGCCTCCGCATTCTTTATGCGCTCTTCCCCCCAAGGGCGCTCTCCCCCTTGCTGCCACCTCCGCTGCGGCACCTGCGGAACCTTTTCCCAGGGGACTGGCAATCCGCCCTCCTCCCCCTCTCCTTGCCCTTCCGCCATGCCCCTCTGGTTCCCCCAGTCACCCCTCCCCCGCTGATCCCCCCTCTCGCTCCGCCAATCCGCTTCCCCTTCCGCCTTCCCCTCTTGCCTCTCCCAAGGGACAACCATTCCCCCTCTTCCCCCCTCCTCCCCTAAACCCTTCCAAAGCCCCCCTCCCCCCTCCTCCTGCCCCCATCGGCGCGCAGTCTCATCGCCCCCGCGCCGCTTTTCCCACGGGAGCGGCGGCCCCGCGGATCGTTCCGCCAAGGGCGGCGGTAGCCGCCCTTCCGAAGAGCCTTTCCGCGGGCCGTCCCGCGGACCGTTCCCCCATCCGCGGTCGGATTCCTCCTCCCAGGGGCGCTCCGGGCCCCGCAAGATGCGGAGCTGCTCGCGCCGCTTCGCCTCGAACGCCTCTTGCTCGCGGATCAGCTGCCCACGCTCCCGCGCGCGGCGCTTCTTCTCCTGCATGCGCTTCCACTGCCACTTGGTCACTCCGCCGGGGAACGTCCGCGGACCTCCCCCCGCCCATATCTTGGGCGCAAACGCGGGATGCGGGGGGGCGGAAAGCGGAAGCGGAGAGCCTCTTGCGGGGATGGTTATTCCGGGAACCGCAGTTTCCGGGAGTTCTCCCAAACCGAAACCCGGGAGGATATTCGGGGAATGGGGGAAGTGTTTCGGCGGAAGCGGGGGTGGTGCGGGGAGGCCAGGGAGGCGGAGATCAAGGTCGCGGAGGGCGGAAGGCGCGTAGATTGCGGGGAGGGGGACGGGGTTGGGGGAGAGGAAGGCGGAAGAGGTGCTAGAGAGGGGGGAGAGGGAGGAGAAGGGGCGGGCGGAGAGGAGCGCCATGCGCAGGGGGAGGCGGAAGGGCATGTAACCTGGAAGAGCTAGTGCTCTATGGCGAGGGGGATGAGAAAAGGCTCTCTAAAGGGCGCGTGCAAGTATAACAGACTAGGAAACAGAAGAATTCTGAGAGCTATCTTGTTTTTAATCCAAGGCTCTATAATGATTCTGTACTAGCGCTGATAGGGGATGTAGCTCAGATGGTAGAGCGCTCGCTTAGCATGCGAGAGGTATGGGGATCGATACCCCACTTCTCCAGCTTCTTTTTGCCCATCTCTTCATTTCACCACCTTCACCTGTCTCTTTCTTGCACGAGGCAATACTTCTCACGATTCTCTTGCTAGCAGGTCACATAGCATCCCATCACGCATCACGTCACCCACACTGAAATCGACCAGCGACCGCCCGTCTAGAGCCCCGTTTTAGACGACTCAAAAGGCAACTGTCCCTCGCGTCACCTCACCCCGCGTGACGTCCATTCTAGATTTGCTTATACTCGCCCCCCGCTGCCAGAAGTCTGTATTCTCGTCGGCGCCCTCCCCGGCCCCGCAATGCCCGCTCGTCCGCTTGCTGCTGCTGATAGCGCCGCCAGCGCTGGTGGCGCCACGTGGCAAGGCTCGGCGGGTTCGGCGGCGGGTTCGGCGGCGGGAGATGCGGCGCAGTTGGCGGGGATGGACGAGAGCATGCAGGCGCTGCGGGAGGTGGTGGTGTGGCCGATTAAGTACGCCAAAGAGGCAGCTGCTTTAGGCTTAAAGGTGTGTGACTGTAGCGGATAGGTAGGCATGCGATGCGGGAGGTGGTGGTGTGGCCGATTAAGTACGCCAAAGAGGCCGCCGCGTTAGGTCTGAAGGTGTGTTCCTGGAGCGTATAAGCATGCAAACCACGTGATAGGAGTCTAGTTTTGAGGCGCCTCAAAATCCGCGTGATAGGAGTCTAGTTTTGAGGCGCCTCAAAACTAGACTCCTATCCCGCCGCGTTAGGTCTGAAGGTGTGTTTCTGGAGCGAATAAGCATGCAGGTAAACCCCAAACCCTAAACCCGAGGCCCAGTCCGCCCCTGGTCCAGATCCCCAGGGACCTCCCCTCTTGTTCCCTCCCGCCCAACCCCTCTCTGCGAACCGAGCTCCACACTCCCCCCTTTATCTCCTTCCTCCTCTCGCCCACACCTCCCTAATTCGTCCTTGCTCCCCCTCTCCCCTCTTTCCTTCCATTCCGCGCACTCCCCTCCTCCCCCATCCCACTGCCCATCTCCCCTTCGCCTCCTTCCCCGCTTGCTCAGGCATGCTCGTCCCACCCCCTTCTCCCCCCATCTTCCCCCCCCCGCCCCACCCCACCGTACCCCGCCCCAACCCAACACTCTTCTCCCCCCATCTTCCCCCCCCCGCCCCACCCCACCGTACCCCACCCCCACCCGACACTCTTCTCCCCCCATCTTCCCCCCCCCCGCCCCACCCCACCCTGCCCCGCCCCCACCCGACACTCTTCTTCCCTTTCCCAGTGGCCGTCAGGCGTGCTGCTGTACGGCCCGCCAGGCACAGGCAAGGTGAGACAGAATCCAGGCTTTAAAACCCGACCTTCTAAACCCTGGCACCTGAGTGCCATGTGCATGCGTGCCAGCTTATCCCGTTTCCCTGCCACTATAGGCCCTCCCATCCCATGCCGACACCTTCCATTGCCATCCCATGCCATCCCATGCCATCCCATGCCATCCCATGCCACTGCATGCCATCGCATGTCTGCCTGGCGGTGCCCCTTGCAGACTCTAATGGTCCGGGAGACTGCTCGCGAGTGCAACGCACGGCTCTTCACAGTCACGTGAGCAAACCATCCCATGTGGACGTTGGGTCCGCTTACAAACAAGCCGCAGCATGGTGCCATGCGTGTCACATATGCCAGCCTTAAGCCCCTCCTCCTCTAAGAATCTTAGACAACCATGCGCCCACACAAGCACTCAGCCCCTTAATCCTGCCTCCCGGCCACTCCATACCTTTAGCCCCCCTCCCGTCCCTCTGCCCTTCGTGTTGCCACCTCCCCATTGCATGTGCCAGGTCCTCGTCTATCTTTGGAGCATACGCAGGAGAGAGCGAGGGGCGCCTTTGTGACATCTTTGACGAGGCAAGCTCTGCGCCCCTCCACCCCGCTCTCCCTGCCCCTCATCTTGCCAACCCCCCGTCACATGCATGGCAGGTCCTCGTCTATCTTCGGAGCATACGCAGGGGAGAGCGAGAGGCGGCTGAGGGACGTCTTTGACGAGGCTAGAGGGGGAGGGCAGGGGAAGGGAGGTGCGAAGGGGGTTGTGGGGGGAACCTCGGAGGGAGCTGCTACAGATTTGCGGCCGTCGATTGTGTTTATTGATGAGATCGATGTGCTGTGCCCCAAACGAGACTCAAGGTGTGGCTTATAACGGGTATGGCTTGTGAAATATGCCGATCCGGTCTTCCAGGCAAGAGTTGATGTAGACTTATGTGTCGAGTGATGCCTGTGCGAGTTCCTTTCATGTGTTCGCATGTGTGTATGCGTGCGTGCATGTGTTCGTGCGCGTGTGCGTGCATGCGTGTGTGTGCTCTTGTGCCTGTGTGCCCTGCGTGAATATTCGTGCAGGCGGCAGAACGAGACAAGAATAGTATCTCAGCTTCTCACTTTAATGGACGGCATCTCTTCCTCCGCACTCCCCTCCTCCTCCTCTCCTCTCCCCTCCTCGTCCTCGCAACCCCCCTCATCCCAACCCTCTCGCCCACTTGTCATCATCGCTGCAACAAACCGGTAAGGAACGTCTCCTAATCTATTCTTTCCCCTCTTCAGAATCCATAATCTATTCTTTCTCCTCTTGCTCCCTGTTGTCTTATGGGAAAAAACGTTCCGCATTTCGCCCTCGTTTCCGCCGACTTTGCTTGATGCTTTTGCAGAAAACAAAACAAAACAAGACAAAACAAAAGCTATGCAAACTTCCTCATTTCGCCCTCGAAACCCTCTCTCCTGCGCCTCCTTGGCAGCCTTTCCTATCATCCTTGGCACCCTTTCCTATCATCCTTCCCACCCTTTCCTATCATCCTTCCCACCTGATTCTCACCCCTCCGTGGCAGACCAAACGCACTAGATGCCGCGTTACGCCGGCCGGGAAGATTCGACCGCGAGATCGCAATCAACGTGCCGGGCACACAGCAGAGAGAGGCGATCCTCAAGGTGGGCCTCTGGCGCAGCCTTATTCCTGCTCCTGCTGAGAGTCTGAGACTCGTTCATTTCTCTTATTTACGATCCTTGCTCTCAAGGGAAGAGCTTTTCAAGGGCCGCTTTCATGCGCCAGTGCACTTGAGGAGATACGAGGGGCCACCTTAAGGCCCCCCTTTCCCTCTGACTTTCTTTCCCTCTTCTCTTATCCACTGTCCCCCACCCCCCCTCTCTTCCTCCCCCCCCCCCCCTCTCTTCCTCCCCCACCCCCCCCTCTCTTCCTCCCCCCCCCCCCCCCCCCTCTCTTCCTCCCCCCTCCCCCCCCCCCCAAAACTCTCCCCTTTCACCCGTCCCCTTCTCCGGTCTGCAGCTGCACGCGCGCTCCCTGCCCCTGCATGCTGACGTGGACATGCGCCAGCTGGCGGCGCGTTGCAAGGGCTACGTGGGCGCTGACCTGGCAGCGGTGTGCCGCGAGGCTGCGCTGGCCGCTATGATGGAGATGGCTGGTGGGGCAGGGGAGGTGTTTTCTGGGGGAGGCGTGGCTGGTGGGGAAGAGGAGAGGGGGGAGAAGGAGGGGGAAGGGGGATCTGCAGAGAGGTCGGACGGCAGTGGTTGCACTGCCAGGGAAAATGGCAGCAGCAACAGCAGCAGCAACAGCAGCAGTTGTGTCACCAGCCGTTCTGGCGATCTTACCGTAGCAGCCAGTAGCAGCTGCAGCAGCACCAAAAACGGCACAGGCAGCACAGAAAACGGCATTAGCAGCAAAGAGAATCCCACAAGCAGCAGTGCTGTAAGCAGTGCCGACAGGGGCAGCAGCAGTGTAGGTCTAGTGGCGATGCGGCACTTTGACGCTGCTCTCTCCCGCGTGGGCCCCTCCGTGACTCGCGGCGTGGCGGCAGAGCTGCCAGCTGTCACATGGGACGACGTTGGAGGGTTGGGTGGAGTCAAGGTGAGATCGGAAGAGGGGTGACCCCCTTTGCAAGTCAGAAGCGCCTGCAGAAGTGAGGATGGCGGGGGAGAGCCCCCTGCACCACCCTGGTTACCACGTGCACTCTTTCCTGAGAATGGCAGGGGAGTGGCCCCCGCGGCACCTCGTGGCCTTCCTTTCTAAGCTTTTGAGTCGACTCAAAAGCTTTCCAAGCACAAGTGCGGGCGGCTTTTACTGTCTCCCCACCAATCTACTCACCCCCAACCTTCCACCCCCCTCCCACCCGCATCAGAAGCGGCTGAGGATGGCAGTGGAGTGGCCTCTGCAGCACCCTGCGGCCTTCCTTCGCCTCGGGCTGACCCCTCCTCGAGGGGTGCTGCTGCACGGGCCACCAGGGGGCGGCAAGACAATGCTCGCGCTGGCCGCAGCCCATGCCTCCAAGGCCACCCTCTTCTCGCTCAGGTGTACACCATTCTCCCCTTCCTCCTCTCTTGTATTTTGAGTCGACTCCAAATGCATTCTCCCCTTCCGCCTCTCTTCTTGCTTCCATGCGCCTTTTGAACCCCCCGCGAGGGGTGCTGCTGCACGGCCCTCCCGGGGGCGGCAAGACTATGCTCGTGCTCGCTGCTGCCCATGCCTGTGCTCCCAGGGGCCCATGCCTCCAAGGCCACGCTCTTCTCTCTCAGGTGTCCTCTTGAGGCGCCTCAAAAGTTCTCACTCAGGTGTCCTCTCTGGTGAAGGGTTTTGCTGTCCCCACCCTTCCTCGCTTTTGCAAGGCTTTCCTCGCTTTTGCAAGGCTTTCCTGCTTTTGCAAGGCTTTCCTCGCTTTTGCAAGGCTTTTGGGGCTGACCCCCCCTCGAGGGGTGCTGCTGCACGGCCGTCCAGGGGGGGGCAAGGTGCTGCTTGCAGCTGCCCATGCGTCCAAAGCCACCCTCTCTCGCTCAGGTAGATTGGAGTCGTTTCTTGGCTCGCATGGCTGCTGCTGATGTGTATTCCTAATGTCAGTCACTTCCCTCCATCCGCTTGTGATGCTCCCAGTGGAGCGGACCTTTACTCCATGTACGTGGGTGAAGTAGAGGCCATGCTGAAAGACACTCACGAGCTCACTGCACTCCCTGCCCACCCCCCCAATCCCCCACCAGTGGGGCGGATCTGTTCTGGGCGAGGCCATGCTCAGATTCACTTGCATACTTGCGGCACTCCCCCCCTCCCCACCCCCAACTCCCCCCCCCCAAATCCCCCACCAGTGGAGCAGATCTGTTATCCATGTACGTGGGCGAGGGCGAGGCCATGTTCAAATTCACTTGCATACTTGCGGCACTCCCCCCCTCCCCCCCCCCCAACCCCCCCCCCTCCACACCACTAGTGGAGCGGATCTGTTCTCAATGTACGTGGGCGAGGGCGAGGCCATGCTGAAAGACACGTTCCGTTTGGCTCGCATGGCGGCTCCCAGCGTGGTCTTCGTGGACGAGGTGGACGTGGTGGGGGGGCGCAGGTGAGTGCAGTACAATGCAGTGCGTTACAGTACAGTACAGTACAGTCAAAATGTGTAACAAATTATGTTTGCTTGCCATTCATCGTATGGCGCCTGGCTAGTATGGCGGCTCCCAGCGTGGTGTTTGTGGACAAGGTGGACGTGGTGGGGGGGCGCAGTCAGTACAGTAAACAACAGTGCAGTGCGGTACAGTACGGCTGATGCATAATAGATGGTGATATGCTACCCTACAACATAAGTTCCGCCTGGCTCGCAGCGGCTTCCAGCGTGGTGTTTGTGGACGAGGTGGATTTGGTGGGGGGGCGCAGTCAGTACAGTACAGAACAGGCTGTATAGATATTGAGATATGATACACTCTGGGGTGTTGCCCTACAATACACTGTTTGCACGGCGGCTCCCAGTGTGGTATTTGAAATGAGGTGATTGTGATGGGGGGTCGCGAGCCGCCCTAACTCACATCCTGAGACGAACTCTCTGAGTTACCCTCTCCCACCCTGATTTTGCAGGGTGTTTTTTGATTTGAGAATTCTCAAAAACATCCTAAGACGAATTCCGAGTCACCATCCATCCCCCGCCCTGCCCCAACAGATCCGAAGGTCATTTTTGAGTCGACTAGAAAATCACGCCGCCCTAACACACCTCCTAAGACGAGCTCTGAGTTACCAACTCCCTCCCTGCCCCAATAGATCTGATGCGGAGAGCTCAGGAGGAGGAGGAGGGGGGGGCAGTGTGGGTGAGAGGCTGCTGGCAGCGCTGCTCACTGAAATGGACGGTCTGCAGTCACTCACTGCTCCCATCGCACCAACAAGCAGCACAAGCAGCACAAGAAGCACAAGGGAAGGCAATTCTGACGCTGTGTCCACTCCCTCGTCCTCCTCCTCCTCCTCGGTCCTGGTGATCGCAGCCACCAACCGCTTCCGAGCCTTGGATCCCGCGATCATCCGCCCCGGACGATTCGACTCGGTGAGTGCCCCCCAGGTCAGGCCAGAACCTACAGCTTAAGCCCCTCCATTCCCCCCCTTTTTCTCTGCCATCCACCCATCTCGTTTTGAGGCGCCTCAAAACTAGACTTCTGCCATCCACCCATCTCTCTCTCTATCTGCGTCTTTTTCCTCGTTTTAATACCTCTAATTCTCCTCCCTCATCCGATCATGTACGTACCACCATCCACACAGCTGCCAAGCGCCCAACTTATTCCCCTTTGTTCAACCATCCAATTTTTCCAACATCCCCCCCCTGTAATGCTTCTCCTCATCAGCTCATGTACGTACCACCATCCACACAGCTGCCAAGCGCCCAACTTATTCCCCTTTGTTCAACCATCCAATTTTTCCAACATCCCCCCCCTGTAATGCTTCTCCTCATCAGCTCATGTACGTACCACCATCGAATAAAGAGGGGAGGTTACACGCGCTGCAGACCCACACAGCTGCCATGCGCCCAACTGAACAACCCCCAACCTCCTTCTCCCACACCGTCCTCTACCCTCTCCCAAACCCAACCTGCACCTCCCCCACATCCTGCCAGATCATCTACTTGCTACCATTGGATGAAGCGGGGAGGAGGCTACACGTGCTGCAGATCAACACTGCCGCCATGCACCCAGCTTATCTCCCCTTGTGCAACCATCCCATGTTTCCACATCCCTCCTCTAATGCCTCTCCCCTTCAGATCATCTATGTGCCCCCCTTGGACGAAGCGGGGAGGCTGCACGCGCTGCAGATCCACACTGCCGCCATGCGCCTTGCTGCTGACGTCAGCCTGCCAGCTGTCGCCGCCAGCACGGCGCTGTTCACTGGTGCTGACGTGGCAGCCCTGTGCAGGGAGGCCGCCTTGGCGGCGTTGAGGGGGGAGGTTCTTGAAAGTGGGGAAGGAAAGAGTCAACCAGCAGCTGAGGATACAGCACGAGGGGATGCAGGATTAGAAACAGAAACAGCTGCAGAAGCAGAAGCAGGAGCAGGAGCGAGAGCAAGTTGGGGTGGAGGTTCAGCGATGGCCGGCCTTGAGGCTCCTAAAGAGGGGACGGGAGGAGTGGCTTCTGGCTCGCCGTGCGTTGCTCAGCGGCACTTTGACAGTGCTTTGATGGTGGTTCGCCCCTCGTTGAGTGAGCTGGAGGTCCAAGCGTACGAGCAAGATGCATGAGGGATGCTCTGTAGAATCAAAGGTGTATTGATGGTTCAGCACAGCAAAGGTGCAAAAGGTGAGCAAAGGTATGTTGATGGTGACTTTTGAGGTGCTCACTGTTAGAAAACTAGAATGAATTAGAAAGAAAAGGGAACAAGGGAGATATAGGGTTTGGGTTGTAGTCTCTAAGAACACACACTTATTCTAGCCTATAACTTCTACAAGCAAATGCATATATAAGTTGACACACCCCCTAGGCTAGATAAGGGGTAGTGCTGAGCAAGAAGCACACAGCTCAGGGTGGCACTGTCAAACATGTGTATTTGTCATGTTTGTATAGACTGTATAGGGTCGCCTCTTAGAGAGTACAACACTTAGGTATATCTGTGTGTACTCTCACTCTATCCATCATTCACTTCTCAATTCTGATATGGTATCACGCGTAGGTAGGATCCCCCCCCCCCCACCTACCGCTTCCGCTCACCCCTCTAGCCCCGTCGCGACCCCCCTGGGCCTCATTGCGCCCCTCTTGGGCTCCGTAGCGCCCCTCCTGGGCCCCGTCGCGCCCCTCCTGGGCCCTGTAGCGCCCCTCCTGGGCCCCGTCGCGCCCTCCCTGGACCCTGTAGCGCCCCTTCTGGGCCCCGTCACGCCCCTCCTGGGCCCCGTAGCGCCCCTCCTGGGCCCCGTTGCGCCCCTCCCAGGCCCCGTCGCGCCCCTCCTAGGCCCCGTAGCGCCCCTCCTGGGCCTTGTCGCGCCCCTCCTGGGCTTCGTAACGCCCCTCCTGGGCCCCGTCGCGCCCCTCCTGGGCCCCTGTAGCGCCCCTCCTGGACCCCGTCGTGCCCCTCCTGGGCCCCGTAGCGCCCCTCCTGGGCCGCGTCGAGCCCCCCCCTCCTGGGCCCCGTCACGCCTTCAGGCCCCGTCGCGCTCGCCCGGCCCCGTCGCCCCAGCCCGGCCTCGTCGCACCAGCCCGGCCCTGTCGCACCAGCCCGGCCCCGTCACGCCCGCCCGGCCCCGTTGCACCCGCTCGGCCCCGTCGCCTCCTGCCCGGCCCCGTCGCAGCCACCCGGCCCCGTCGCATCCGTCCGGCCCCGTTGCGCCCGCCCAGCCCCGGTGCGCCCCTCCTGGGCCACCGTCCTACTCGCCCGGCCCCGTCGCACCGGCCCGGCACCGTCGCACCAGCCCGGCCGCGACGCACCTGCCCGGCCGTGTCGCACCAGCCCGGCCCCGTCGCGCCCGCCCGGCCCCGTTGCACCGGCCCGGCCCCTGCGCTCGTCCCTGCCCCGGCCCCGGTCCTCCTCACTGGTACGGTTTCCCCCCCCCCCGCCCTGCACTGCCCTGCACCGTACTGCCCCGCACTGCACCGCCCCGCACCACCCTGTACTGCCTGGCATCGCACTGCACCGCCCTACACCGCATTGCATCGCACTGTACCGCACGACACCGCACTCCACCTTGCTGCACTGCCCTGCACCGCACTGCACTGTTCCTGATGGCGGCGGAGCTTCGCTTCGACGCTGAAGGCCAGCCTCTGGAGTTCGAGGCGTGGCTTGCCGACCTCCGTCGCCAACTCACTGGCCAGCGGCAGGATGGTGAACCGCTCTCCGCACACCTTGACGGTACGCTCCCCTGCCCAGGCCCCCCTGCTATTCTGCCCGCTGACTCCACACCCACTGAGCGCGAGTCCACTGCTGCCACTGCCCGTGCGCGCTCTGTCTGGCTTTCTCGCGATGCTGTCGCCCAGCTTGCCATCAGCAACGCCCTTCCCCCGTCCGAGCGCCCTCGCTTTAGGTCTCTCACCACTGCTCAGGCATACTTAGATGCTGTCATCCAGCGCTATTCCACCCCTCCGGCTGCCTCGGTGGGTCGCCTGATCCTCCCGATGCTCTTTCCTGACCTTGCATCTTTCCCCACTGTCTCTGACCTCGCTGCCCACCTGCGCTCGATAGATGAGACTTGGCGTGCAGCCTGCACTGATGCACAGCTTAGAGCCCACCAGCCACCCATTACCTCTACCCTCTACCTGCTTGCCACCCGCCTCCCTGACCGCCTTGCTGTCGCCCGCGACCGCTTCCTTAGCATTCACCCCGCAGACCTCACCCTCACCGACTTTTTAGACACACTGACTGTGATAGAGACCCGTCACCGCTCCATCGCCCAGGCGAGCGGTGTCGTGCCGGTCCCTATCTTTCAGGGTTGTGCCCCCGCCCAGTGTACCTTCTCCGACGGCTCTGCCGCAGTGGTTGAGACTGCTGCTGCAGCGCAGTTTCGTTCGGGGAAGGGCCGCCGCCCCAAGGTTGGGCGCGGCCGCGGCGGCGGCGGGGGTGCGGGAGGGGGTAGTGGTGGGGTCGGGTCGTCTAGTACTGGAGCGGACGAGGGGGCCCTGCCCAGTCAAGCTGAGCCACCGCCCCTATAGTTGCAGCAGCCGCAGCAGCCGCCGCAGTCGCAGCCTTCGCAGCAGCCGTCGCAGACGCGGCAGACGAGTGTCCTCCCGCCCGGGTGGCCCGGCGCTGGCGGTGGCCGGGCGCGTGGTGGTGTGCCGAGTGGTGGCTCTGGCGGTGGGCGTTGTCAGTACCAGATCCAGACCGGTCCTCGCCGCGGCTTCGTTTGCGGTAAGATCGGTCACTCCACTCCCCGCTGTTTTCGTCGCCTGGACGACCTCTTTCGTCAGCGCTTCGGCCCGTCGCCAGACCTCCCGGACTGGCACAGTTTGCTTAGTCGTAAGATTCAGATTTTTGATATGGACATGGATGCTATTGTTGCTGCTCTGCATGTGATGTATGCTGATGACTCTAGTGTGCTTCCCGCTTATTACTCACTGTTGCCTAGTGTAGGTGTGCCTAGCTTAGCCTCCCCTGCTGCGTCAGGCGTAGGATCCCCTGCTTTGTGTAGTCTTGGTGCTTCCGCCGTCGTTCCGTTGCCAGACGCCTCTGCTTCGCTTTCCTTCACCTTGGACTCTGGCGCTTCTCGGTGTTTCTTCCGCGACTCCACCACCCTGACGCCGCTTCCTGTCCCAGCTGCTGTCTCTCTTGCTGACCCCTCCGGCGGTCCGGTCGTCGCCCGCAGTTCCACCACCCTTCCCTGTCCGGCGGTTCCTTCGGGCTCTCTCACAGGTCTGCATATCCCCTCGTTCTCCAGGAACCTAGTTGGTGTCGGCTGCCTCCAGGACCTTGGCGTCACCACTACGTTCCCTGGTCACGAGCGGTATGCTGTCTGTACCGAGGCCGCCACAGGTGCCCCCCTGTCCACGTTCCCCCGGGACCCGGTGTCCGGCCTGTTCACTCTGGACACCGTGACCCCCCCGGCTGGGGCGCCTCCTCAGGTGGCTGCATCTACCCAGGTTGCTGCTGCCTGCTCCTGTTGGTCCCTCACTCACCCGACTCTCCTTTGGCACCACCACCTAGGTCACCCTGCGCTCCCGCGTCTGCGTCACATGTCCCAGCACGGTCTTGTCCTTGGTCTCCCAGGTTCCCTTCCCGCGTTTCCCTCCTCCCCAGCCCCACCTTGCACGCCTTGTGTTGAGGGTCGGCTTCGCCGTGCCCGGCACTCCTCCTTGTTTCCCCCTACCGCCGCGCCGCTGCAGACCCTGCACCTGGACGTCTGGGGCCCCGCCCCCGTCCCTGGGCCGCGTCGAGAGCGCTACTTCCTTGTGCTTGTCGACCACTTCACTCGTTACACCACAGTCTTTCCCTTGGAGCGCAAGGCCGACATGCCTGGCGCTCTCATCCCCTGGCTTGTCTCTGCGCGTGTCCACCGCGGTCTCCCTGTCTTGTGTCTTCACTCAGACCGTGGTGGCGAGTTTGCCTCAGGTGTCCTTGGTCGCTTTTGTCGTGCGGAGGGCATCACCCAGACGTTCACCCTACCGGACTCCCCACAGCAGAATGGGGTCGCTGAGCGACGCATCGGTTTGGTCATGGAGGTGGCTCGCACCTCCATGATCCATGCCAGTGCACCCCATTTTCTGTGGCCGTTCGCTGTGCGCTACGCTTCTCACCAGCTTAACTTGTGGCCGCACCCTCAGCAGCCGCAGGTTTCGCCGACTCGTCTTTGGACTGGGTCTCCTGGTGACGTGTCTGCGTTCCACGTCTGGGGCTGCCTTGCTCACCTCCGTGCCTCCGGCACGGACAAGCTCACTGCCCGCACCCTTCCCTGCGTCTTCCTCGGTTTTCCCCTTGACGCGTCCGACTGGCACTTTTACCACCCGCCGTCTCACCGCTTCTTTCACTCTCGTGACGTCACCTTTGACGAGTCCGTCTCCTACTACCGTCGCTTCCCTCACCGTGGTCCCCCGGTTACCCCCCCCCTGTTCCTGGTCACTCCTTCCCCGGTAGTCCCTGCCCCTCCTCCTCCTCCTCCCCGTCCCGCCCCCTCTGGTGTGTCCCACGTCGACCCCCTTCCGTCGGTGGACCCGGTTGAGGAGTCTTCTGACTCTCGTGGCACTCCTGTTCAGTCCTCGCCGGCCGCCCCTCCCCTGGCGTCCCCTCCCCAGTCCCCCCCTCCACCGCCTCTGCCGCCGCTGCAGCCGTCGTTGTCGCTGCCGCCGCCGCCGCCGCCGCCGCCGTCGCAGCACCCGTTCGCTGACTCTTGGGGTGGTCCCTCTGGGGGTGCTGGTGTGGAGAGTGCCGGTGGTAGCCGAGGAGCAGCTTGCGGTCCCGGTGTCGCCGTTGTGCCGCCGCAGCAGCAGTCCCCGCCGGTGTCCGCCCTTCGCCTGCTCGGCCTTCCGTCCCCCGACCCTGCGTCGGTTCCTCCCCGGCCGTCTCCTCCTCTTCCTGTCTACGGCCCTGTCTTCCCTCCGCCGGACTCGTCCCCGGCCCGTCTCCCCCCTCGTTCCCCTCCTGTGTCCCCTCCTCTGTCTCCTGACCCGACTCCTCCGTCGCACGTCTGGTCTCACCGTCCCTCCCGTGCTCGTCCTGCCTCGCCTATCTTGCGCTCCCACCCTATGTTGCTTCGTTCCCACGCGTCTCGTCCTCCCCTTCTGTCGTCGCCTCCCCCGTCCTCCCTTGATGTTGCACCCCCCCCGCTGTCTGACTACCTTCGTGCCGCTCGTCCCCTTGTTCCTCGGGTCCCTGCCTCTCTCGTTACCGACCCGTCTGTTCCGACCTCGTGCCTTGACGCTCTTGTCGCTGCTGTCGCTGACTTCGCCTCTACCCGCCGCCTTGACTACGCCTCTGCTCTGGTCTCTGACCCTGCCTATCCTCCGTCTGTCGGGGGTGCTCCTGCCCTCGGCAGTAACGTCCTGGAGGACCGCCAGTTCGAGCTTGCTTTCCTGTCCGAGGCTGCTCCCCATCTCTGTTCCATGCTGCTAGTCCCTGAGGGTGACCCAGACGCTTTCGACATCCCG